GAGCCCCTAGGCGGTCTGTGTGTGTCAGGCGATTTGGACAGAAAGAAGTAGGTCGAGGCTAAAGGTACGGGTATGACGACAAGAATCACAGTGCAGCAGATCTCAACTAGCCTTGTCTAATGCTGCCAATCTTCCATCTATTTCCAAAGAGAATCGTTCCCAAAGAAGCTAACCGGAAGCACCGAGTCATTGTTTGGAAGCTCACGGGACTTCACGATCTTCGGGTACACATAGGCTGGACTCGACCATACCAGAAACGCAACCACCCACGCATATCCCATCAATCTCTCTACCGTCCAAGGAAAGTCGTCGACCGATCCTTTTCGTCACACGAATATACAGGCGAATCACCAAGTCTTCCAAAGGAATGCCCACCATCTGTCCGCAGAAGAAAGCCAGACCGCCCGACTGGTAGACCGAGATGTCCGTGGCCATGTCCAGGGCGATATGCATCAATCCTGAGACGAGAAATCCTATTACGTTCTTCACATACCGTGCCTTCGAAGTACCGCGGGGGAGACGGAGAACGTCATGGGCGACGTAGTCCGAAATCGTCTTGAACTTGTGGGTGTTTGACTGGTGCCATGCTTGGCTAAGGGATTTAATTAGCTTGAGTGCTCCTATTCTGAAGGAACATAATTTGGAACGTATGGCTTACCTCCAGTACCTCCGCATTGTGTACGCTTGGTACGGCGCTCCGTAGAAGGGAGGCCAGTCTGCAGGCTCAGTCATTCGAAAGAGAACACCGAAGAAAGCACAGATGTTGTAGAGTCCCCCTTGAGTGCAGATCATGCAGATCAGAGTGCTGATGGACACCACAGCCCTGGTGACAATCTCCCCCAACGAGATCTCTAGGAAACGTCGTAAAATCGGGATAGTCTCCAATGAGACGTATTCATCACCAACAACGGAAGCAACGTTAGCCTGAATCAAGTCAATTCCAGCATAGCAAGCCACGACTGTGAGAGCCGTCATGGAAAGAAACACCCCGCGAGATGGGACGTAATGTGGCATCCAAGAAAAGAAAGGAGGCAGGTGACTGAGCTGTTCGGGGGTCCCAATGAAACGAGATGTGAGGCTCATAGACAGCCCGAAAGCGAGCTTCTTCTTCCATTCGCGGAGAGTTGCAATGACTGTAGAAGAGGAGACAGTCTGTTTATCCTTACTTCTTGGAAAACGCCATTGCCCGATCAAAGCCACATCCATGTAATGGACTAGCAGCTGAATGGTATACCCGGCGACTGTGGTGGCCCAATATCTGCGTCCTAGGCAGAGAAGCGATTTCGAGATGATCTGCCAGGTGCAAAGAGAAGCGATGATAAAGGCCCCAGGGCGAGCAAGTGAGCGTGGGTGTGTGAAGCCAATGGCAAACGCGCTGAGCATAATCTGAGTGATCAGGAGAAGGATGGGATGCCACTTCATACTTGGTGGTCAGGCCTCTAGACGTTTGTGAATAGAAGGAGTATACAGAAAATATGCAGCAGGAGAAAGATATAAGATTTGCTGAGCCCACACATATGTTGTGTCTATACTACCTGGGAGTAAGCTGCAATTCATTAGGTCCACACATCTGGGTCCTGTGGATCTTGCTTTGTTGAAACTGCTTCCAAGTGAATGACAGATCTTTAAATTTATACAGATGCCATGGTCACTAATGTGCAATCCAGCAGAATAGAAGCTTTACCACACTAGAGATAATAGCCCTGGTATACTAGACAAGTGTTAGGAAGCTCGATCAGTGCTTCGTGAGACAATTCACAGATAATATAGACTCAATCCAAGGAATAATTGGACTGGCTAGGTAACTAGGACATAGTGGTGCGAGCCCCATGTGTATCTGGACTTAACGTCAGATGTAGATTCCATTAAGGTGCAGTAATCTAAGAGTCTCTTACCAAAGGAACTGCTGGATGCAGTGAACAATCTATTAAGAATACCACTACTACTCTAGGCTTGCTAGGGAGATAATCGATGAACCCGAACGGTATATGTGCATTGCGATTGCTCCGTGGATGTGGCTGAAGAGGGGTCACTCAACCCGCGCTCGGATATAAGCCGACAACCATGAATTTCGCAATATCGAGTGTCCACGAAGTCAATGGCGAGGTTTTTTTCACCAATCGATGATGACCACGTGCTAAAACTGATCGATACTGCGAACTGTGCTCGCTGACATTTAAATACCAGCGTGATAGTACTTTCCCCCGGGAGACTTCCACAAGGACTGCCACACACCAAAGATGGAACTGTGCGGTTTGTGCAAAGAGCTCGATCTGTCGCCATTACTCCCGACTCTGGGAGAGGCTGATAAGACGGAAGGCGCCGAGTGGTCACGCCATAAATTTGCCCGTGTTGATTACATTCTGGGCCATGCCACAACATGCGCGTTGTGCCGGCTTATAGGTGGGGTCCTCGTGTACCTTTTTTGTGAAAGAGGCGGGGATGAACACAATGGAGGTGCCCCAGGTGAAGACTTGAGTAAAGCATCACCCACTGACTCGGATGATGATTCCGATGATGATGAAGATGTTGAAATGCTGGGAAAACTTGTGACGGCGCTGGTGGTCGACGGCGATCTGCTCAGCAGCGAACAACAGCTCCGTGACCTAGCTCCAAGATTCACAGTCAGCGTCCACCTCAACCAAAAGCTAACCCTTAAAGGCGGACCTACTCATCAAATTGATCTCACGGTTGAAGGGCCCCACACGATCATTCAGCCGCCGAGTCTCGTTGCGCTACAGGATAACCCTCCCTACGGTTGTGGAAGCGCTCGCCGAGTTGACCCGCAACAGGTGGACTATCAAAAGCTCAAGCAATGGATCCACATATGCGAAGATCACCACCAGGGGTGTAAGCCGCCCATCACATGGACTCAGCCCAGAGCGAAGTCTAGTGATATGAATGGAGTGCATCCATTCATGGTGATCGACGTGATCGAGCAAAGGGTCGTAACAGCGCCTCCGGATTGTCGATACGCCGCGTTAAGCTATGTGTGGGGTCCAATTGAGATGCAGTTCCAAGTGCAGCAAGCGAATCTTGCGGCAGTGTCGGCAGAATTCGGTCTTGCAGGAGTCGAGACCGAATTACCCGAGACGATCAAGGACGCGATGCAACTAGTCAAGGAGATAGGGGAGAGATACCTCTGGGTGGATAACATGTGCATTGTCCAAAATGACCAGACCAGCAAGAACTACTGGATCCATGAAATGGCGGCCGTGTATGCCGGAGCCGTGGTGACCATTGTCGCCGCAGCGGGCGTCGACTCCAGCGCTGGTCTTCCTGGCGTACGACGCGGGACCAGACAATACCCCCAGTTTGCGGAGGAGGTAAAACCTGGGCTGACGCTTGCGACATTGGGCTCTCAAACCACTTTGGTAGAGGATTCGAAGTATAGCAGTCGAGGATGGACGTACGGTGCCCCCATGACCAGTACTTTTCTCTGCTGACACGGACCATAGGTTCCAGGAGAGAATGCTCTCTACTCGCAACCTTGTCTTTCTTCCAAATGAAGCTTTCTTCGAATGCAGACAAGCTGTATTTGTTGAAGAGATCGCGTGCGAGGACGCGTCCTTTTCGTACGAAGAGCATGATCAGATATACGATCTCGGTGTTCTTTCGCCATTCAAACAGCTCGCAGAGGGGTCAGACAACTACAGTACGCTGGTTGAGATGTACACTTCGCGGTGCTTTAGTAATGAGTCGGACGCCTTGAATGCCTTCGCTGGAATGCTCCGCGTGTTAAGCCTGGAGATGAGATCGCACTTCCTCTGCGGCCATCCCATTGAGGACTTCGGTGAGACTCTGCTATGGACGTTGGATAGAGACGATGTCCACAACGGGACTCGCAGGAAAGGCTTTCCCAGCTGGGCTTGGAGTGGGTGGACAGGAGAGAAACAGATATCCAATATACCGTGGCTGGTTGAATCAACCGAATCAGATGAGTCCGAGCTTTCGGACGTGGGAGAGGGAGACAGTGTGCGAAGCTTTATATGGTGGCGGGCTGAGGTCCAAGACGACTGTTACCAGATCAGCTCCCCTACTCACAACCTACAAGAGGCTCTACAGACATGTATCGATGGGGAGCAATTGCTCACATTTGATCAACCCGACTATAGCTACCTCCCGTATTTGCCGCGATACTCGGATACGCTTCAGCAAGTGAGGCTCCGATTCTGGACTATTGTCGCGCCATTTAGACTGAGTCGGAAAAGCATGCCCTTTATAATGAATTCTGACTCTGAGCCGGAATCTGATGATTTCGAAGGGTCTTCAGTGAGCATCGGGGCGCCTCGGTTCTTCAGCATTTGGGGAGAGAATGATACATGGTGTGGGGAGGTCGTAGATTGCTGTGGCGATGCTATGTTGACAGGAGACCCCACTGTGTACGAGCTTGTCATTTTAGGGCTCTACTTTGGCTCCCTCAGTGCCATGGTAGTCAAGTGGGAAGCTGGAGTCGCTGAGAGGATTGGGCTTGCCAGGCTATTCATGAATGCGTTGAACGCGGTGCTGGAGCCGGGGATCCAGTGGAGGGAGATTGTACTAGGTTGACTGTCTGTTGCTTACATAGAGAAATATTGCTGGAATGGCATATAAAGGTCACTCTGGTTCCATGACATACCCAAAGAGCCTTGAGCATAGATGATCTACACTACCCGATAAGGAAGCCCCCACGTGATGTAAACAAGCCACATGATGGGACCCCGCGCGGCCACCGCCACACCTGCTGATAAGCGTCACCGTCACTTCTCCAGACCCTCTCCATCTCCATCTCATCTTCCTTCCACCACGCAGCATCGACTGCACAAACACATCCCACCGCACTACTAGCACCTTCACAGGCAACACCTAACCACAACCCCCGAAGTCCTCAAGATGAACATTCTCCACTCGACCCTCTCAACCTGGCGCGACCGCCTCGCCCCAGTGTCCCGCACCTCCACCTTCCGCACAACAGGACAGATAACGCCCGAAGAATTCGTGCTCGCCGGCGACTATCTCGTCTACAAGTTCCCGTCGTGGTCGTGGGCCGACGCCTCGTCCCCCGCCAAGCGCGTCTCCTACCTCCCGCCGGGCAAACAGTTCCTCGTCACGCGGGGGGTGCCGTGCCATCGCCGGCTGAACGAGAACTTCGCCGGCGATGCGGGCCACGAGGACGAGATCGTGCGCGACATGTTGTCCGGCGGGACGGGGGCCGGCGGCGACGACGACGACGGCTGGCTGCGCACCGGGGGCGGCGGGGCCGACGCGGCCGAGAGCCGCATCCGCGATGTGCGGACTGTCGACGAAGCGGGGAACATGGGCGAGCGGGACGACGAAGAGGACGAGATTCCTGATATGGAGGATGACGATGACGATGAGGAGGCGATTATTCGTGAACCGGCCGGGACGACTCAGTAAGTCCCCTTCCCCGCTCCTGCGTTATGTATGCCGGGGTGAACTAATGGACAGACCAACCCGCACGTACAACCTCTACATCACATACGCCAACTTCTACCGCACGCCGCGGCTGTACCTGTCCGGCTATCTGTCCGCGTCGGAGCCGCTCCCGCCGCACCTGATGATGGAGGACATTGTCGGCGACTACAAGGACAAGACGGTCACGCTGGAAGACTTCCCATGGTTCGAGGGTAACGTCAAGATGGCCACCGTGCATCCGTGCCGGCATGCGTCGGTGATGAAGACGCTGCTGGACCGCGCCGACGCCGCGCTGAAGCTGCGCCGCGAGAAACTCAAACAGGCGCAGACCGACCCGTCCGCAGCCAAGGTGCCGTCAGCCAACGAGAGTGGACTGGAAGGTCTAGTTGATGATGTCAACCAGCTGTCGGTCAAGGAGCAGCCGCAGCAGCAGGATAAAGCCGGCGGCGAGGAGTGGGAGGTTCTGCAGCACGACGAGGAAGAACAGGTTGCTATCCGCGTGGATCAGTATCTGGTGGTGTTTCTAAAGTTCATTGCCAGTGTGACCCCTGGGATTGAGCATGATTTTACCATGGGCGTATGATCTTATCCTGATGGTTCCGATGATTAATTTTTTTGTGTTTACCTGGCGTGGGAGTATACAGGCTTTGATAAGTACATTCCGTTTGCGATGATATCAACCAGATGAGTTAATGAATCTATTCTCGCTAAAGAGTGAAATTACCAACGAACTAAATAGCACTATTTTCAATGAGAATACAGTCACCACCGCAGCCCGATAACAAAGGTTGAAGTGAGGAACGGGCGGAAGGGGGAGGAAAAAGTAATATAAAAGAGTACAGTGATGTAGGGAAGACAGCGTGGATGTCAGGGAATACAAAAGGTGCAATAATGAATGGTGACATGGGTAGGGGATTAAAAGGATACATAAGGCAAGGGTGTAGAGAGGAAGTATATCGGGGGCAAAATTATTGAATAAGAATAGAAGAGAAAGGGGGAACTGGGTAATATAAAGGGCAAGACACAAGAAGGGGTCATAGAGATCAGGGGAAATGAAGTCTCTGTGCAGTGGTGCGGCGGTGATACCAAGAGAAGGTATGTGAATAGACGAGGGAGTCAACCTATGCACCGCACAGACAGGTATATGCCGGCTCGGGCACCGGCTCTGCCTCCCTCTCTGGAGCCGGGGCCCCCTCTGGAGCCGGGCACTCGCCCACTTCACCCTCCGGGGGCTGGTAGACCACGGTGGTAGTCATGGTAACAACAGGCCTGGTGGGGATGGAGATGGCGGTGGTGATGGGGACGTACGTGGACGTCGGGGGAACATGGAGGTAGGTGGTGGTGGTGGTGGGAGCCGAAGAAGTCACTTTAGGCACAGAGATAACGATGGTGGGCTTAGAAGTTGTGACCACAGGGACGGTGGCCGTAGGGTGAGACGGTGGCTTGCTGTGAGTTTCATAATGGACGTGGTGGAAATTGCCGGAATACAGACCCGGGCCCCCGGGGATCCCAATGTAATGGTCTTCGCTGTCTTTGCTGTCGTCCCAAGAGTCGTAGGAGCCAGACCCGTCGCCTTCGTGATGCTCGTAGGACGACTTTTCGCCGGAGCTGAGTCTGGGGCCGTCGGGCATGCCAATGGATGATTTGTCGCCGGATTCAGCGTCCCAGTTGACCTGTCTCTGGACGAGGGATTGGTCCTGTGCTGTCAGCGTGGTGTAAGGTAGTTATACAGAGGAAGAGTGGTATACCTTGGAAAAAGGCACTGAGAACACCGACGCAGGCCCAGCAGCTAGAAGAAGGCACACGAGTGCGGAGAGGGACTTTGTGGTGAGCATGTCGTCAAAGATGTAATGAAAGAATCTGTCAAGTGTGGAATGAATGGAGTAGTCCTTGAAGGAGCGAGCTTAGATCAAAGAATGTGTGGTGAGGAATGGACGAAAGAAAGAAAGAAAGAATGAATGTTTGATAGAGAGAAGGAATGTGTCTGAATGATCGAGCCTGGAATGAACACCAGGCTCCTTTTATAACTGCCTGGACGCCATCCTCTGAAGCCATCTCCAAGGCATACGACCCTTTCCAGGAGATGTATGCCCTGTATACCCATAGGGGCCGTGCAAGGCCCAGATCCTTGGACCCTATCGGGTCTATGCAGGCGCATGATCCTGTATGCAGGAGATGCTTGATAGAAGCCTGGACAAGCTCATTAACTGCAAATAGACAATACAGGGGCAGATCAGGCAATAAAATAAGATGGCTGGGATGCAGCAGAAGATTTAACGCAGAACGACGCAAGGAGACACCCGACTATTGAACTTGCAGAGTTGTACAGCAAAAGAAAGACATGGCTTGTCGGAAATAACTTTGATTCATCCAGTACGTAGATTGCACATGGTCATCAACTTCTAACGTTGATGCGTATCAAGGGGGAGAATTTTCAGGCCGTCGTTCATCATCCCACATACATGTCGCAAGAAACATAAATACCAAAACGCACGCCCAACGGTATATAGCATAAGTCCATAGATGGTCACATCAGCGTAGCTCCGTTCCAAAGGCCGTCCCAAAATTCGTGGTTTTCTTAAACTTGATCTCCGGATCCTGTTCGCCCTGCTCGGGGAGGTCGGGTTCATCCTCCTTCTCCTGGGACTCCGAGCGCCCAAGGACCTGCCTGGCCTCGTCCAAAAGCTTCTGGTTCAGCTCCTTCAGAAAGTCACTATCATGCTCCTCTTCGTTGATCAACGAGAGGGGCCCCTTCAGGGCGGGATCATCGGGCAAGTCGGCGAAATACGAGTCGGAGTTTTCTGCAGGTTGCCGCGGTGCAGCCGGAGCAAGGAGTCCCTCTGTATCCAAGGGGTCGCCCTTTGGCGAGAGCTGCGCCGCTTCCTCATCACGGTCGATGCACACCATCGGGGTGTGCCCTGCATCCCTTACGAGATTGGTCTCCGGGGGGCCTAGATCAGACAATTTTAGCTTGAGGCTGCTGCGGCGCTCCAGGGCTTTCTGGGACGCCGACGACGGGGAGGTCTCCCGGGACACCGGGGATGGGGGCGTCATGACACGCGCGACGATTTCCGGCGGCAGAGCGGACGATTTCAGCGTGATGCCGTCGAGCTTGCTGTCGAGCTTCTCGATCGGCACCGGGACACTGGCATTTGCTGTCGAATCGACGGCGCGCGACTTGGGCGATAGGGCCGCGTCGAGAGAAGGAGGTGACACTGATAGAGCACCGGACGTGTGGCTCCCTTGCTCGGGGATCGACAAGTGCTGTTGGTCCGAGGGCTCCTCGTCGGCAAACACCCGGGTGGGCCGGCTCCCGGGGCTGGAACCCTCCCACACCTGGGCGGCGGTCGCGGCGTTTCGATCAGACGAGTGCGGGGCCCCAAACGGCAGTTGGAAAGATATGGACCGTTTTGGGACCGATGCGCCCGTCGAAATTGCTGTATGCATGCTGTTCCCCCTACTCCTACTGGTGTCGCCCTGATCCTGCAAGAGTGCTTCCAATTCGGTGATGCGGGCCAGCAGGATATGACGCTCATGTATCCACAATTCTCGCTCTTGTGCGAAAAGGGTCCGTTCGGTTTCTATCATCGTCCGTTGGCGGTCAAGGAGGGCCTGCACCTGCTGGAGGTAGCTTGCGCTCAACGTCGCAGAGTCACCCTTACCGCCAAGCATTTGCGCATGATGGACGGCGTGGGTGTGTGGCACCGACTGCGTACGCCGAATGGGGGTTGCGGTAGGGGAGAAGCGCACCTCCTTGTAGAGGCTGCCGTGGCCGTTGGGGACTTTTGTCGAGGAGGATTTCATAATGATGAATGTGGCGGTAGCCAGACCGCTCTACTGAGACAGTGGGAAGAAAAGAAATGGTTGACTGGGTGATAGGGACGAGAATAGATCCCTCATAAAGGGATGGCAACGTGGGGAGTAAAACAAAGGGGCAGATCGAGTCGTCACAAGGAGGAAGAAGGTAGAAAGCATCCAGAAAGATGCAATTCGCTTTGTTGTCGGGCGACTCTCACATGGATGGAAGTCGGAGTGCCGCAGCAGCTGTGGAGACGCCCCAGTTGCGACCAGGGAACCACCAGGGACCACTGACAAGGTGGCAACTGTCAAAGAGGGACCCGAGCTTAGTTGTCGGGACCAACAACGCCGACTGAAGTGTCTGCGATTAGACCGACTGACGACGTATCCACCGCGCCGGAGGAGATCGCTGGGATTTGCTGTCGTGGACTAGGATGGATATGGTGTGTTTGACGGAGATCAAGCGGCCATACGAAGATGGCCAAGTGGACGACCTTCCACTGGACTGCAGCGCAGGAGGGTTCACAGCGTTCGCGAATCGACTGTAGAAGACCCGGGAATTAGCTCTGTAGTTAAGACAACACGGACGACGGACGCCAACCAGCACGAAGGGGAGGAGGGCGATTTAAATGATGGGTGGAAGAAGGATGACGGCGAAGGCAGTCTATGTGCGGGGAACGTTGACATACAAACACGCTGGGCGAGGTCATCCGTTGTACCACGAGTGGTCGGTCGGAGTCAGAATCTCCTGTTTTTGCGCAGGAGGATGTAGGTGGAATGCGAGGCAGAGATATATGAAGATGGTGCCAGAGAAAGTACGAGATGGTACAGAGTACAGACTAACCCCATTCATGCTGAGGCCTAAGGCCGATCACGAGGAGACCGATGACGTTATGCCTCCCAAAAACACCGCAGAGATTACAACCCTCCCTCGCACCACCATGACGATGCCCCGTCACGATCGGCTGCTCCCGGGGCACGTCCGAAGAATTTCGTCCATGCATGTGTTGTAATCGGAAGGTCGCATGCTCGATGGGCGGATCTGAGATCCGTCGTTTCATTAACATTATCATTACTACCTACATAGTCCTGGATACCATCCCCTGCCTGACCATACTCGTGACCAGACGGCCACAGCCTCTGTCTCAGCATCCAAAATTACCCATCGCGGAGGAACTTCGCCTGACCGCGAACTGAAACCTGATCATGACATCCGTCGACGAGCGGAGACCAAAGCTCAGAATGTGCCCCGGAGCTAATCTCCCCCAAAGCGTCATCTCGCAGCCGCCCGTCGACCAATGACCCATGAACCCAACACTCCACGCCCGCACGGAATGAAGTCAATCCCAGCCCGAGTCAAACCATCCTTTTGCCGCTAAAAAGAACGATCCACCGCAATCACCCGCAAGCAGACCATGGTCAGAGTGAAGATCGTTCCTGCGAGCCGCGCCTGCCGGGCTGAAGCGCGCGCTGCGCTTCCTCCATGACATGACGATGGATCGACGGCAGGGCGACGAAGTGGAGCTCCTTGCGCATTGCGCCAAAGATGGTAGCCAGATACCAGACGCCACGGGCCGACAGCTCCCGACCACCAACAGAGCCATACGGGAAGTAGAATCGCGGGTCGAGGTAGAAGACGACAGTCGACCAGCGCGGGAGCTTCTCCATCAGAACGCGGCCGGCGCGCTCGTACTCCTTCAGCGTGCGCTTCGGCACGCCCGTCTGTGAGTGCACGAAGAAGAAGATCTCGAAGCCGACGCTGCGGATGCGGTTGAGGGCGCTGGGACTGAGGGTGTCCAGGAACGCGCCGAGTCGGTCCAGGTTGAACGAGTTGGTGAAGAACAGCGTGTTGTGCGAGTAGAGGTATTCTTCTACTTCGTCGTGGAGTTGGCGGTTGACGGCAAGGAGGCTGCGGACTTTGCCGTTCTCACCCACCCAGCTGGGACACATCGACAACGCCCGGTAGCGACCCCGGGCCGTGAAGACGTTGCCTCGATCGTTGACGACGATCAACGGACGGTCCATGTAGTCGTTCGGTACCGCTACCGCATACTCGTAGATCATCAGGCGTATTTCGTAAGGTAGTCGAAGGAGTGGGGAATCTTTAGATAGTGATCGCTTTGGAGATTTCATAGATGAAGATTTGATAGATGTTGTCATCTTTGGGATGCCCGACTCGATGAATTGCAACATCATGGAAAGCTTTTGTTCTGCAGGCCAATACAGGACCTACTATGCTGTGATCTTTGTATGAACCAAAGGATGAGAGGGCTTATTTATAGCGTGATGCGTCCAATTGAGCTGGATCGTATGAGTAAAAGGCGCCTGCACTGCAGCTTGGCATTAATCATCCTAGTCATGAGGGCGTTTCATCCATTTGTACTGGATTCCAGCCTGAAAACAAAGGATGATTAGGAGTGAAGAGACAAATCCGATGAGAGAGTATCACACCACGCCGGCCCGCTCACTTATATCGACCCCGAAACAACCGGGCCGAGCCTGCAAAGGAAAAATCCTTCACTGAAAAACTCTATCGCTGCCAATGTACCTGAGGAACGGCTTCGGAAGGCTGGAACCGCCCGATGGAGATCGGGTCGTGGAAAAGCCCAAGAACTACTGTTTGGGAGAAGAGCATTTGCCACCCGGGAGAAAAAAAAGAGAACAAGACGGGCCCGAGTGGACCATATGCGATCATCGTCACGCCAGCGATAAACTATGCAAGTAGATTCAAATAAATCCATAATGCGAAACTTTCCCGGTATATTCCCAATGCGCATGTGTCTAGGTACAGAGTAGATGTTCTGTGCGGTTCAACCGCGTCGATATACTCCCAGTGACCACGCCGCCCGAAGCACAAACAGGCCCCAAGCCATCCCCAGGCTGTCCCGGAGGACGTTCAACTTGCTTCCCTTCACCTCGCGCCAGCCCACGGGGACCTCGACGACGGGGATACTGGCAAATTCCGCCAGCATCAGCATTTCTACATCGAAAATCCACCCTTCCGAATGCATGTACGGGACAATGTACGGCAGCGCTGTACGAGAGAATAGCTTGAATCCGCACTGGGTATCTTTGATCGTCGCGGTTTTCCGCGGCGTCATCAGCCACAGGATCAAATGGAATGAATGCATGAGGAAGTTTCGAAGTTTCGAACGCTGCGCGATCAGTCAGCTTGGTAGATCCGACGATTCTAGAGAAGTCATACCTTGACGACAGCTTCGCTCCCAACCATGTGCGCCCGCGAGCCCACTGCCACACCCCGTCCGTCTGCGTCCTCCACCGCCCGACACGACGAGACGAGCTTCCCCAGATCTTCGAACTTACTCGCCCCGTCCGCGTCCGCAAACACCACATACTGACCACGAACATGGCGCAGGCCGTGCGTGACAGCACCACCCTTGCCGCGGTTCTGCGTCAGGGTGACCACGCGGATGGTGCCTGGCGGGATATGGACGCCCTCATGGGTGCCGGGAGTCCAGGGGCCGGCGTAACCCTTGGGATGCGGCGAGAGCTGGTGGTCACGCGCAAAGCTGAAAGCGACGTCCTCTGTGTGATCGCGGGACCCATCCGACACGATGATGATCTCCCAGCCCTTGTCCAGAGAGACGCCGTTGGCCGCGTGGCCGTTGACATGACCGTTGGCTGGGTTGCGCTGGCGGGCGTGGCCATTGGCGGTGGACTTTTCGCCTGTGCCGTTGGCGGTGTTCGCGGCCAGGGTGCCGTACATCCGCTCTAGGTAGTTCACCGCTTCTTCCAGCATGCCCGCGAGACGGTCCTCCTCGTTGTAGGCGGGCACGACGAGGGACATGAAGAGCTCGGGTTTGTCTAGATTGGCGTGGTCGTAGGGGCGCCCGGGACGCTTCCGCACAGCGTCGAGCCAGCAGGGGAGGGGTTGAGGGTCGGTGATGGATCCATCTTTTGCAAGGGTGCGGTATTGCTTTTCTTCCAGCGAAGGGGGTCGAGGGACCGGTGCGACGAGAAAGAGGACAATGTAGAACTAAATGGAGGGTGTCAGCGACGATCTACCAGGGAAGATGGAGGTTTTGATTGGCAGGCGTAGTCTCCAACAAGATCGACGTACAAGGACGAAAGCTCCTAGTAGGGTTGCAGCGGATGTCACAAGGAGGATAGGGAGAGGAACGGCGGCGAGGAGTTCAGCGCAATGAACGCAGACGTCGGTCCACGATTCTTGCGACATGATGATGATGTCGCCGTCGGTTAACGAAGGAGGAAAGGCAGTCGGACGGCGAAGCAAACAGCAAGGTAGGTATATAGGACAGCGTAGGCAGTACCGAAGGGGCCAGTTCCATCCACAGTGGAGACGAGCTTAAGCGCTCAATGTATCAGAGACGATCCGGACTTGGCCAGCCATACGACACGGAACCTGTCTCGTGTCAACGCTCCTAGCACGGTGGCAGGACCATTCTCATTGCATTCGGACGAGAAGAAAGCCAGCTGGATGTATTTGCAGCTCGGGAGAATTGTTGTTGGAGGGTAGACGGGAGATGGGTGAGGGGAAAAGGCGGGCAGATCTCCGACGCGTTCCTGTCGCCAGCTTGGCCTCTTTGGGTCACCCCGTTGCGGTTTAGCCCGTCTCCACCCTTACGTACGCCGCTGATGGAATCATACAATTTACACACCACAACGCAACTCTGTACAACACACCTACTTCTTTCGATGATCATAATGCTCATAACGATTCTACCTAGGTCACAAGGGTGTTCATTGTAATAATATCTAGCAATAAGACCTTGACACTGGGTGGTATTTATGCAACCCAATGAATCCCCCAGCATCCCACCAGGAACCCATGTCTAACGCGTGACTCTCGTATCTCGGTTGCCGGGATGGAGCTGGTCGGTGCAGTGGCTCAGACTTGAGTCTGAAAAGGTCCGTCGTCAGACCCTCACGCGTCATCGTGGATCCCAATGAAAGCAACATCGAAGCTTTCCAGCAACTGAGAAAAAAAAAGGTACCATATGCCTCTGGTGTGATGGAGAGGCAACACCCGCGATACGAAACATCAACCCACATCACGAGCCCTGCATTTGAACATCAGGTCTCGGAGTGCCATCAGCCTGCTTAGTGGTGAATGGATTATGCAGCTGGACACGTTGCTCTAGTTCCACAGCGAAAGGTGTCACGGAGAACTCGCGCTCCATCGGGTTATATATGAACCAACGGTTGAACTGTGCGCAAAGATAGCATTAGTACAAGATAGCCTGATGTTCGATCAAAGAACATACCTTTGCAAGCCGCGCACCCAGCCAGAGACACTTATAGATCCTGGACACCAACAGAGACGGCCGTTCAATATTGCGCCCGTCATCTTCCGACGGAGCGTTGTCAAAATAATGCGGCGGATAGTACGTCTGGCTCCATATTTGGCCACGAATACAGTTGTCCTCCGGAGTCCATTGGCAGTCCTGAAAGTGCGGGTATTCGGTTCGTTCGACAAAAATCGTGTCCACCCAGGGGCGAATCATGGTATTCAAACAGATAACTAGTTTGCGCCAGGGTACGACGGCCTCGGCGTACTTCATTCCCGTGGGTGTCCCTGATAAGCACCAAATAAAGGATAGAGAGACGTGAAGGGCCGGGAAGATATGTTGGTCCCCGATTTGGTCGAGGAAGACTGACATAGTTTCAAAAGCGAGAAAAGATGCGTAGTAGACAAAGCGCGATGAGTTTTGCGGCTCACCCAGAGCGATAAAATCCGAAACGACCTTCTCCGGGTCGCTGGTAGGAGTCCACGTCTCTGCGGCAGCGGTATATCTATCTTGTAAGGATCTTTGTGATTGCGTGGTTCCTTGCTGGAATTCACCCAACAACAGCGCGTCAGGATGGCCGTATTCCAGCATGGCGGCAAAATTGCATGAGGCGATATGCGCCCCCTGCATTCGGAACGCAGGACCAATGCGCGTGATGAACTTGTCTAGAGGGGGTAAGAATTCGTTGACGGACGAGAAAAACTGAGGTGAAACGTCTCGTTTGAAGAGAGCGCCGTGAGCGGCGACGAACGCCGTTATTAATGGAGGATGACTGCTGTTACTCGGGTTGGGACTCTGCAGAATTGGATTGAATAGGAGGAGAATGCTCTCGCGTGTTCCGGCAAACGATCGCACAGTAACTAGGGACTTGGTGTAGTAGAACAGTTGTAGCAGAATGTACGGGCGGGAGAGGACGGCCAGGTGGTGCTGGATCCGGCCAACATCCGGGTTCCTATCTGCCGCTTTATTATACCAATACCTTGCGACCCCGGCCCATATTTCTCGTTCCTTCAGGTCGGATTCTTCGACGGCCATGCGGTACCTCGATAGGTCGCCCAGACACTCGAGCCACGTGTCCTGGAAGGTCGGGACGGTCTCTAACAGCAGCGTCATCATCGAATACGCCAGGTAGATAAAAGTCAGCATATGCTCGAGGGACTCGGGCAGTCGATGTCGGAGGAGCTCCAGAAACGAGTGGATGCCGTAGCGCCACATGCGGGCGGGCATGGCGTACTTCTCCGACAGACGTCTGAGCACGGGGCTGGCGGTGGGATGTTGCGAGGCCATGAAGAAGTCGTGATGTTCTTGGAGGAGGGTGCGGTGGAGGGCGATCAGGGCCTGCCACTTCTGGTTGTCGAGGGGCGCGCGGGACTCGGACTGGGCTTTATCGATCTCGATGCATTTCTTCTCCACCATCACCAACCCCGCATAGATGCCGCGGACCTCATTGATCAATTGCTCTTCTGTTATAGGATGAGTTTCTGGCTGAAGGAAAATCCCGTGTGATGCTGTACCTCCGGCTACCGCAGAGACTCCTCCAGCGGGTTTCTGCTCATTGCTCAGGCCTTGCGCGGATTCCTGACCATAGCTCAAATTCTCTCGGGACTGTCGAGACCGCCGCGCGGGCGACGCGGACGCGGACGCCGACGGACCGGCATGTAATTGCGGCGAGGCGGCCTCCTCGTTGTTGGACACGGGGCTGGCGCGCATCATCGGGGGTGGGAGGTGGGAGGGACCGGCGTCGTCGCCGGCGGGGTCTGCGGGGAACCGGGGGAGGGAAGATCGCGAAAGACGGGCGTCGCTGTCGCCAAGGGGGGCCTTTCCGATGCGATTCTCAGCCGCGGTGCGGCTGATGGGACGGTCTGGGGAGGCGCTATGTGCGGTTCGCCGTTTCCATAATTGGCGGTGTCCTTGGGATAGGTTGGGCGAGGCCCCGCCGTGCTCGCTGAAAGCGTCCGAACGACCGGCGGAACCGGGTCGATTGTTGGAGAAGGTGAAGCTGCCGGAATGATGGGCCCGGTTGGTTATCGACGACCCTAGGGGCGATCCATCATCGGAGGCCAGAGGGAGATGCGACTTTCTGGGTTGTTGTTAGAAGGAGACGGAGGACGCAGAAAGACGCTTGATCGCAACGATCGCGGTGTAGGCGATGGTGCGGGGACGAGGAGGGACGAGGAGACGGGATGAACGATCGAGGGCTCTTACCTCGGAGAATCCGCGTCGCATTCTGGCTCTACCGAGGGGAGCGACTGGGCGACGATGGAGGCCTCGCGCGGACGAAGTGGAAGCGTTTCTTGATTAACATTGTCGTCACTCATCGTACTGGGTTTACGTAATACGTCATCTACCACCATTAGCCTTCACGACCTGCGCGGTTCAAGAGAGAAGCAAGTTATTTTCCCACGAGATATGGGATCTGGAGGAGGAGGAGGAGGATGCAAGCACGCACAAGGGACAAAGAGTGGAGGGAAGAGGGAAGAAGCACAACGGTGGGAGGACAACAAATCATGCCGGATCGACATTTACGCCGGGTAACATAAGAATAATAACAATAATAATAACGGATGATGATGATGATGATGATGATGATAATATCGGGCAAAGTTGATACCCAAGAACCGACGCAGGGACTCACCTGGACCGCACAACGGGTTTATCTACCAGCGGGCGAGAGAGAATTAGGCAACTAAGCGTGTCTGTGGTTGAAGATGATTGCGGTGGGCAAGTCTCTCTGCCTGGTGGGAGAGATTATTAGATCATAACCCCATGGCTGACTCACCTTACTCTCATAAAATTACTCTCCTCCATATTCTGTACACGGCAATTGCCCGATCCTCCAATAACCCCCCCCAATCACCGATACAGTTGGTTCCGCATAAGAGATCCGTCATCAAGACAGGCAGCCAGTTGCCTTGTCGGCCCCGTGGATTGGGCTGCAGGCATCAACCCGGTATGAAGATCCGTTCGTATCGTCTCCCTCCGAACAAACCGAGCAACCTTGGCATGGAGTATGCCGAATGTATTACCGTAACTGACAAGTGAATAATTCTATTTATTATCTACAGATGATGCCACTGATGCTAATTTCAGTTCTATAGGTACCTGACTTCATGAAATGACGGACTCCTCGCTCTGTCTTGCGGGATATCCTCCGTACATCCAAATGGAATCCCGCGGGAGCCGTCGCACGCTATAAATAGTCCGAGGCAGTGCCAAAGTTAGGAGTCAGTCAATAATCATCCTCCTCGGATCGCAAGGAGTTGCCTGAATCCTCCCGAACTAGGCGAAGTAGGACAGGTACCAGTACCCGGTATTCGGTATGGTAACATTCTAGATGAAGCCTCTTGGCTGGGGGGCGAAAATCCCTCTGGCCGAGGCATGATATGATGGGTGTTGTGGCTTGCCTAACGTGCTCCACAGAACTTTCTGCAATATATGCGTCTCTACCAACATTGAAATCACCAAAGCATCCTCTACCGCTCCATCGGATTAAAGTTATATCCACAAAATGTTCAACAGAGAAATATAAACTCTCAAAGCCGACTCACACTGCTACACACAAAACGGCCGCCTACAACGGATTCGTCGCCACGGGAGCGCCGCCATCGAGCTTGAAGTACCCAGGCTGAAGGGTCTGGTAAACGCCGGTTGGATCGTACTTGGATGCGATGGCCTGGAGGCGGGCTTTGTTCGCCGACCCATAGCTGGAAATCACGTCCTGGAACTGACTGGCGTAGTTCATGTAAATGTACTCGTGGTACAGTCCCAGACTCTTCGCCTTGGCGACAACAGCGGCAAAGTAGTCGCTGACGAACTGGTAGACGGTCTCGTCGTCGGCAGCGTCGTCCCACCAGGTGGACATGTGCATGAGATGCAGGGGCCCCTGCGAAGCGTCGAGGCCCAAGGCGTTGCCACCGAACTTGGTCATGTTGTTCAGGATGGGCTCCGTGATGCCCTGGTAGATCAGCACGGGGTTGATACCCGAGACGTTGGCGACCTGGGGCACGACGGAGAGGAAGTAGTCGACGGCCCAGTTGGCAAAGTCCTCGTCCAGATGCACGGTGATGGGCCAGTAGATCTCGCGCAGGCCGTTGGGGTTGGACTTTTGCACCGACGCACAGTACTCCACCAGGGTCTTGGTGGAGAGTGAATCAGAGATGGCGGGGATGGAGCGATACTGCGCGAAGATGGCGGGCTCGGTGTTGTCGGCGACATAAGTCAACTCGGCGGACGCCAGGTTCATGCCCTGCGTATTCACGAACGCCACGTATTGTTGGGCATTACCGTCCACGGAGGCGTTGTTGACAACGTTGATGAAGGCGTTCAGCACCTCGGGAAACTTGTCCTGGGTATAGAGGCGCGTGCCGCCGAAGAGGTTGCCGCTGGGAATCGTGTAGTAGTTGAACTTGGTGACGATGCCAAAGTTGTTTCCGCCGCCGCGGAGCGCCCAATAGAGATCGGAATGCTCGGTCTCACTAGCGGTGACGATCTGGCCCCAAGCTGTTACAACCTGTCAACGGTGTCAGTGGCATGGACGCGCATGGCGGCTCTAGCGTCTACAGACGGCGTACCTCGAAGCTTTTCACGTTATCGGAAGCCCAACCGTACAGATTGGAGTAGTACGAGATACCACCGCCCGTGGTCAAACCACCCACGCCAATCTCGGACACTCGGCCGCCGATGACCGCCAATCCATACGGCGCGAGCGCAGAGTACACGTCCGTCCAGGTGTTGCCAGGTCCCACGGAGGCAATGGACCGGTCCGAATTCAGAGTAATGGCGTTGATGTCCTTCAACCAAACGGTGATGCCGCCCTGGCTGCTGGAGGCCCCGGCAAAGGCAGCATGCCCACCGCTTTTCGCAGCGAACGGGCACTGGGTCAGGCGCGAAAGCAGAACCAAGATCGACACATCGGTGTCTTTGGCCGGCTTAAAGACACAATGGGGCTCGACCTCCTCTTGCTGCACGGACCAGTAAGACGAGGTGAAATTCTGATACGTCGTAGTGTTCTGAGCAAACACTCTGCTGGCCCCATACAGAAACTTCAATGATCCGCACTGTCGGTCCAGTTAGAAACCAAGGCGCCCTTCCAAATGGATAGCTCGGGGGTACTTACCGCAGCGGTACAGGCGCTCCCGATCGAGCGCTGCTGCAGACCAGCCAGCTGTGGAATGGCCGATACATCGACGCCGTATTCCTCCAGCGCAGCTGTGACATCGAAGTCGCTGGGCTCGGCCGTTTGAGCGACGGCTACACCACTGATGGCGAGCAGGAGAGCCGGAGAAAGCCTCATCTCGATTGCCAGATAAGTGAACAATGGGATGAAGAGACTGGAGGAAGAGAAGTTCGCCACGTCGGAGGATAAGCGGACAATATATTTGAAGTCGATTATACCCCTAGATTGGTCAGTCGTCTGACATGCCAGTCCATACTAGCGCCCCCATAATCATAATCAATCGGCTCATCGCGCTCCTTTCCCCCAGGCCGTTGTCTTTACTAAAACAAGAGATTGTAGAGCACTAGACAGCGCGTTAATCTCGCTTAGAGCAGACGCAGTGGGGGCGATTATGAATCCTGGAAATACCACCCTATGGTGATGTGGGCATTGTCACTGGCTGAACGGCCGTCGCTAGTTTTGTCGGACGCATGCGCAGAGCAGTCTAAGCCGGCTGACATGGTCCAGAAGCCTGGCGACTGCTAATTACCGAGAACACGCCCCTGGATCTAGAGAAAGAGGTGCTCCGTAGCGAGGCCGAGTTCCGACTGATACAGAACTAACCCCAAGCCGAGGCGCTGACAGCCATTATCGAACGGATGAACGATCGGACTGTCCGCCGATCTCGTCGATGTCCAGCAGGACTCCACCCCCGGAAAGGTTTCAGTGTCTGGAATCGAAGATCACGGAGACAACAGTTCATGCCGACGGGGCGCCTCACAAAGGGATTCTCCGCCGGAGGAAAAGCCCAATGGTGGGTAACAACGACCCCGATGATCGTCGCTCACGGATGACACCATATATAGTCAGCGCGAATAGAATGGCGATTGAATCTGAAACAGGGTCGATTTGGTCGTAAGCGAGGAGCGGAGCAAAGATGTTCTCGGCAGAACTAGAAGCCGCTAAAAGGACACTACTTGCGCTGGCGGCTTCACCATCCACGCCGTCTTTCAAGCTAAACCCCATCCCTGTCACGCACACGAGGCAATGGCTGGATTTGGCACGGATGACAGTCATCGCTACGAGATACGGAAAATCCAATCTCCACTTCAGATCTCGTTTACTCTGTAGTACTATCGGTTGAAAGATGCACGTGGGAGGGGTGGGAGAAGTCTACCTAGGTACTCTGTAGCATCGATATGATATGTCGGAGTTTAGTAGAGATCCTCTTGTAGACATCGGCAGTGACCGTTCTGTACTGGACTGCCAGTAGACCATGCAACCCGAGCTTGGCTTCACCTGTTCCTCGCCTGCAATCTATTATTGTCAGGGTTAATATATTGACCTGACAACTGTACCTGCTTGCCGAAGTAGGATCCTCCGCCCTATTCGCTGATATTAGATGGCTTGAGAGAGCGTATGCAGCTAGAAAATTCCTCCCATGTGCCGCGGTCCCCGCCGGGGATTCATCCAGGTTGTTGGCCAGAGACTCAAGCCAGAGGCCGTTTAATATATGCAAGTAAACTCAATATGGCGGGATCCCTGAAGGCCGACATTCCTGTGAGCTGCAGCTCGGGATATATTGCCTTGGCCTGTCGGATAGCCGTGGTGCCTCTCTCGTCGTGCTTGTCTCCATTTGAACAGTAACATTCCCTGCCATATTCTGCGCCACGCCTGCAACTTAGCGAAGCACACCATGACGAAGACAAGCCTGACCTCAATCTTCGCATAAGCTGTGACACCAGGTCTATCGAAGGCGCTTGTCGCTCGTCACCGGAGAGAGCGATGGCGGGCAGCAATGTCACTTCAGAGACAATCCGCGGCAGTGGGTATGCCTTGATAGTGCTTACGACCCTCATCGTGATAACCAGATTCGGGACGACCTTGTCTCGGATCAAGGAACTCAAGGCAGAGGACTATCTTCTCGCCTTTGCATACCTGCTCTTCCTGGTGTTGGCCATCCTCTACATCATCATCGCGCCGACACTATACAAGATCAAAGCAGTTCAACTCCAGCTGATACAGCCGTATCCTGAGCTACCGGAGGATAGTCTGAAACTGCAAATCTTCTTCTTTTTCGCGACCGGCTCGCTATGGCTCTGTCTCTGGATGGTCAAGTTTTCGCTTCTTGCGATGTACAAGCGTCTCCTGAACGGACGGGTCTACTTTATCGCGTGGTGGGCGCTTCTCGGTTTCTGCATCGCGGTAGGTCATGGCCCCATTGTCCACGCTACTGGCGACTAACAAGTACACCATGACTCCCAGACCTTGATAGGCTCCATCATCTCATCATGGCTATCGTGTTCCAGCTTCAAGGCATGGTTCACAGCTGGCGCGTGCAATAAACCCCGAGACCACCGAGCCGCCGCCATCAGTCTTTACTTTTCCTTCGCGGTGGACATACTGACAGACCTTCTTAGTGAGTCTACACCAGCCCTCCCCGAGCTACAGAAGAAATACCATACCAACATTTACCCCATCCAGTCATGATCCTCCCCATCCGCCTCATATGGAACCTACGAATGTCGCTCAGCCGCAAGATCAGCATCGGCGCGTTATTCGGCCTGGGCTGGATCTGCATGGCGGTCTCCATCATCCGCGTCGTCGAGCTGGGCAACAACTGGGGGAACGGAACACCAGAACCAGTGTGGCTGGCTTTGTGGGGGATCATCGAGGGTTCAGTCGGTAAGATTTCTCCACCAGACCAGCCGGAATACGCTCCTCACGCGTCACCTTGGATACCTAGCTGTCATCATCGGTTGCTGTCCCGGACTGTACCGCGTTATCAAAGCGCGGGTCTCAAAGTCCGAACCGTCGTACTCGTGGGACTCGTACGGATTCCAGATGCACACCGTCAGCGGCGTCTCGGCGAATCGGTCACGAGTGCGAGGGAAGGATGCCAATTTCTCGCGACTATCTGGTCGTGTCGTTGCCCGCGGCGATACGCCTGCGAGCAGCCAGGAAGAGCTGAATACACTAGGGGGCGACATTATGGTTACGCAGAGGGTGAGTATCACTGTTAAAGATCGAGATGCTATTTCAACGGCTTAGAGGAATTCTTATCTTGAAGACGAGCTATGTGTTTATGTGTTTCACCTTGTGTTAAATCGGTTGATATGGTATACCCGGCGCCTTGAATTATTTGATTTCTCCCCTTCTTTCTTTTCTTGTGTTATAGATATATTGCATAAATAGTGAACTCTTTTTGGCTTCTCTTGTGGCTCTAGGTTAAGCCCAGTTTGTAGAGGACTGCCGAAGTTATATTTTGCCCCGGCACAGACCGAAGGGAAAAAAAAGGCATGGGGATGTTGACTCTATGTTGCCGGTAGTTGAAACTCGCCAAGTACGGAAAGAAATTGATTGATACAGCAGAAAATTACCACAGTGCACTCCTTCTACGGCGACATCCAAATCCAGATATACATAAACAAACCCGTAACCAAATCAAGCGTTATTGGCACACGAGAAACTCTGACTGCTCGAGTCATCATGAATAGTTTTACCAGAAGCATAGAGTCCTAAGCCGCACTGCGTTCTGTTAGAGGAGCTATCTTACAAACCCAGGGCAGCGACTGGACTTACCAAAACCATTCCGATCCCAATAGAAGCAGTGTTCAAAAGGGTCAGGAAGACTTTCCTAGGCGACGAGAACCAGAGACCTTTGTTCATGAATAGCCAAAACATGCCAGGGAAGCCGAACGTAAACCAGCTGGCAAATAAGGCAGTCTAACCCCTATTAACCACACTCAGATTCACACGGAGAAGATGAGACACTCACAATAAGACTAAGCAGAGTGCTGAACACAGGGATAGCAGTCGCGATAATCCAGGCGATGACCCAAAGGACTAACGCAATGGCAATCCATGAGCTGACGGCGACTAAATCCCGCTTGTGCATGCGGTCCGTGCCGGCGAAGATCCGCAGGTAGATAGCCTTGGATGCAACATGGCCGTTGATGACTCCGGCAATGATAATCTGGATCATTTGTTAGATCAGGTTACCGAATTGGACATCGGGGAGTAGAATGGGGCAGGATCACAGTAGGCAGGGCAACTCCGTAAGCAATCTTGGAAACCAAGGGACTGGCAGAGCCCAAGGCAGGAGAAACTACATCCTTCCCTGCGTAGCAGTATATGACCACAGAGGCAGTGAGATACAGAGAAATATCAATTGCCTGCAGCACTGCGAGTGACTTCTTGAAGTCCTTGGGGTCTCTGAGCTCGGCTATGAAGGTGAAGAACGTATTGTGACTCGCTGTAGTAATCAGTACGCTGTACATGTTTCCATCAATGATCTTACCAAAGGAAAGGATAATGTTCGACGCAGACGTAAACGCAGTGACTAAACTAGTCTGCACCGTCGGTTCTACAATGACTCTTGGATTCTGGATCCCAAGGGCAACCATGACAATCAGAACCGCGAAGAATATGCTCGCAAACGCTAAGCACTGAAGTCAGCCAAGAACAGACATAAGATCGAAAGAACACCCACAAATCAAGGATAACCAGGACATCTTCTCCAATGTCCGGGGAAGTGACATGATAAACGAGATGAACATCCCCAGAATCCCGAAGGCGATAGAGCACGTAGCATGATCCGTAAGCACGTTCATTGCCACAGAGAACGTCAAAACATGGCTACCCATGAGGAAGATCAGAAAGAGCAGTTGCCCACACCCCAGCAACTCTCTTCCGAACGGGCCCATGAGCACTTCGCCTGCGTCCGCCATGCTAGAGATATGCGGGTATCTCCATTTGAACTACCGCAGCCTATCATCAGCACCGGGAATAACACAATTGTCGTTGTGGTGTTGCTAACCTGTCCAATCACGTAGCCTGTATAAGATGCCAGCATGCCCATACTGAGTAGAATAATGATGGCAGGCACCAGGCCCAGATGAGCCACGGCCGCTGGCAACGAAAGGATCCCTAAAGAGATGGTCTCTGCAACCATGAGCAGGCCACCTTGCCTTTTATGGGTCAGCAGCTAGGATCAATAGGGAGAACAAGGCGCAGACGTACCACCACTTCAAGACCTTATACTTCACTTCGGCAAACTCCTCGTCTCCAAAGGCATCCTGTCGAGAGGGGCTCGTGATCTCCCCCTTCTTCTCATCCGCACCTACGGGCTCCTGGCCCACTCCATGGTGAAGGGAGCCGTGATCAGTATCCACATGTATAGTAGAAGAATCTAGATCGACGATTTGGGGACTCATTTTGAAGGTATAGACAAGGGGGTCTGTCGAACGGTGGAAGAAAAGAGAAGCTTGAGCCAACTCCTAGAAAGGGCCGTTAAGCAGATTGATACACTAGACAGCTTCGCCGGGGAAAAGGGTGGAGAGACCTAACCGAAGAAAGGGTGTATTCTGGCAGCGGATCCCCAGGTATAGTTAAGAGGCCACCGGAACTGCCTGTAGAAGGGATCATATAAATTACTAGCTCGATAGAACTAGAGGTACACAACCAATGTGAATTCAATCCGTAACGCGAACTAGATAATCAAGCATAGATATCGTCGGTATGTTTGCCTTTATACCATCCTTATCATTTCGTGGTTATTTTATGGTCCCATCCCGTGAGTGTAAAGAAATGCCCCAGGTTTACCCCAGATTGGTCTTGCTGAGGGCTGATGTATATTCCGAACCGCTTTCCTCTGGATGCCGTTCCTACATTACAACCCCAACGATGGCTGGAACTAAATTGCAGTGTATGGAGTCCCACGGCTGTTCTAGAGATGTGCCGTGGTGGCAACTCATCGGTAGGTGCTGCGGAGTGACATACTTGTTGAGTGCAAATAGAGATAATGACCCGGAGGAGATCATGGGGGAGATTACCGAGGACAAGGTTGAATTGCGTAATGGCCTCCATCCCCGGATCTGTTATTGATCTCTACAAAGCGTTTTATGTACGTGGGGCTGCGATATCTGGAGTCTCTTCCCATAGCGAGATCCGTGCTCCATACTAGGCAAGGGACTCCGGTATCACCCAAAGCTGAATTCACTGCTGAACTATGCAAAGATAGTTGTCACAAGTACTAATGATCAAATCCCATGTTGTCTCGATATGACATAATGCAATTATGCAAGTTGTTTGTTGATGGCAGAAATTAATAACAGTATCGTGCTTCACATAAACCAAGCAGTCTATACTAGCTACACATGACAAACCACTTTTCATCCGTCTATAACTTAGTTCCCATGTTCACATGAACTGCCTTGACATGACTGTAGGCGTCCAGACCAGCCTCTCCCAGCTCTCGTCCGATGCCACTCTGTTTAACACCACCGAAAGGAACTCGAGGATCACAATCCTGACTGCTATTGATCCACACCATTCCTGATTCAATCTCCGCAGCTACACGGTGTGCCCGTTCTATATCCCGGGTGAAGACAGCAGCACCCAGACCATACGTAGTGTCGTTAGCGCGGCGAATTGACTCCTCTTCGCTGGAGAAAGGAAGAACGACAGCAACCGGCCCAAAGACCTCCTCTTGAACAATGCGCATTGAATCCTTGACATCAGTAAACACAGTCGGTTGAACAAAGTAGCCGTCCTTGTATTTGCTGTCAGTGGGCACGTGTGGTGCACCTCCCATGAAGACAGTGGCGCCTTCATTCTTCGCGATCTCAAAGTAGGAAAGAATACGCTCATACTGAGCGCGGGTGACCTGCGGGCCCTGGAATGTCGACGCATCCCACTGGCTGCCGATCTTGGAAGTTGATTTAATCGTCTGCTTGAAGCGAGCGAGGAACGGAACGAGGATATCTTGGTGGACAAAAATGCGCGACGTAGCGGTACAGATCTGTCCTTGGTTCGACATAATCCCGAAGTGTGCCCACTTGACTGCCTGATCCAGATCGGCATCCGGGTAGACAATGAGCGGCGACTTGCCACCCGTCTCGAGCGTGATATTCTTCAGAGTACTGGCAGCCATCTTCATAATCTCGCGGGCGGTTGCCGTGGATCCCGTAAAGGCGACCTTATCCACGAGAGGGTGGGATACGAGTGCGGCGCCAGCCTCGCGCCCATACCCGTTGGTGATGTTGATGACGCCCGGAGGGAACCCTGCCTGCTTGATAAGGTTCCCAAGAACAAGATTACTCAGCGGCGTCTGTTCAGCAGGCTTTAACACAATGGTGTTTCCGCATGCAAGCGCGGGTCCCAGCTTCCAAGCCGCCATAGATAGCGGATAGTTCCAGGGGATAATCTGTCCAACCACGCCCACTGGCTGGCGAATAGTATAGGCAAACTTCTGGGGCATGGTGCTGATGGTTTGGCCGAAAGTCTTGTCGGCCCAGCCGCTGTAGTACCGTATAGTGCCAATTGCTTCCGGAAGGTCTTCCTCCAGTGCCACGTGGTAGGGTTTTCCTGACTTCTCAGCTGGTTACCTTACGGTCAGTGTGGACTGACATACCGTTGTCCCAAGCGTCGATAGATGCAAATAACTCTTTGTTTTCTTCAATGAGATTGGCCAGCCTAGCCATCATCTGGCCGCGATCGGTGGGCGGCAATTGCTTCCACGACGGATGGACCAAGGCTGCCTTTGCAGCGCGCACTGCCCGGTCAATATCATCGGCGCTGGCGGCATGGACAGTCGCGATTGGTTTATCGGTACTATATTGTTAACGTTCGGAATTTATGGAAGGGATATTCGTGTCACTTACGCTGGATCGATCGAAGTGATGGTCTGTCCGCTGGAGGGCACGAACTCATTGTTGATGAAGAGCCCCGTCGGCTGCTGATACTTATGCCCGTTGGGCGTGACAATGTCGATCACGAGAGGTGCCATAATGATCGAGCAGCTGATTATGTCTTGAAAGTATCGACTTGATATCTCAAAGTATGCGTTACTGTCTATGGCTGATATAGCGAAGCGTGATCTGAAGTCATGTTGACCCCGCTTGGCGGGGATTCTTTTCTCGGAAGGTGATCCCGCTTCCTCACGGGGACAGGAAGCCCTAATGGCCAGGAACAGAAAGCAACTCCGATTGTACTTCTTATATCAAAGGAAAGAAAATATGGTCTACGACTTTTGTGTTGCCATCGACGGATCCTTTTCCTTTGTCGTCTATTCATTTCCCACCAGACATTATGGCAGAGCTCTATGGGATCATGGTGGCATTGATCACCCCCTTCACGGATGACAGAACCAAGATCGACGAAGGCCGTCTCAAAGATCATATCGAGCACTTGATCACTGCTGGCGTCCATGGCCTTGTTCCTGGAGGCAGCACTGGCGAGTTTACTTGCCTCAGTCTGGCCGAGCGCAAGCAACTTACGGAGCTTTGTGTCAAATTCGCCGCTGGTCGCGTCCCTGTCGTCGCTGGCACAGGCAGTACTTCCACGGAAGAGGCGGTCGACCTTGCTGTTCACGCAGCTCAGGCCGGAGCAGCGGCGGTTATGGTGGTTCCTCCGTTCTACGATCCAGTCAACCTCGAGCAGCTCACGGAGCTGATGGCCGAGATCCACAACTCTTCAAAGCTTCCAATTGTCTACTATAACATTCCTTCCGCCTCCGGTCTCACGCTCAGTCCTTCTGAGATTGCCGGGCTTTCAAAAGTTGGAGTCAAGTACCTCAAGGACACTTCAGGCAACGCCCCGGCCTTGACCGAATTGATCTTTGGCCTGTCGGACCAGATTACCGCATTCAACGGTTGGGACACGCTCACCTTTTACGGCCTGGCTGCAGGAGCCCCCGGTGGTGTCTGGGGAGCAGCCAACATCATCCCCGAGCTTGCAGTTGAGCTCTGGGATGCTGTGTCTGTGAAGGGGGATCTGAAGCGTGGTCGTGAGCTTTGGGCCAAGGCATGGCCTATCTGCAAATTCCTCGAGTCCCACAATTATGCCGCCGCAGTCAAGACTGGTGTCGAGTTGACGGGCCAGCCAACCGGTGGTCTCAGAAAGCCGTTTGCTCTTCTGAAGCCGGATCTTCAAGCAGAGCTCAAGCAACTCATGAAAAATGCGGGAGTGAAGACAATCTAAATAGCTCGGGGTGCTGTCTATATAGCAGTGGGACCATATTGAATGGGAAACGGTACAGGGCATGAACCAATATATCGAGATAGAACAGAGATAAAGACATAATTTGAGAGGAATCGTCGTGTCTATAAAATCATAATTCGTGAACAGATAAGACCTGTCTAACGATAAACGTAACTTCAACAAAGTAGGGGCCACAGATTCCCGTCTTTGAGAACATCGACCCATGATGGGAGTCGATCCCCGCGGTTTGTGCCGAGATGTTCATCTTGCCTCCTCCATAGTTCTGTCATGATACTTCGAGCAGCGGTGAAGGCCGCAAATGAACGGATCGAGTATGCGTCATCTAAACACCTGAGAATAGCTTCTCGTCGAGTGGATGTGATAGCTTCGCATCCGGCGACAAATGCTGGCCATGCAGTGCCCGGACCAGTGTGGCCCTCCAATGGTACGGCAGCATTGAATTTCTCCAGGGCAGAGATGACGTTGTCAACATGGCCTCCTAAAACGGCCGGATGGACCTTCCGAATCCTTCGGTAGAAGAAAATGACCAGGGAACCATTCAATGCGTGGAGCATGTGGTGGTGTAGTTTAGGCGAGGGATCCATGTTTTCTGGATGGGATTGGGAGCGACGGAGGTCAAAAGAACAGATCATGTTCTCAAGCCGCACACTTCGCCGCTGGAGCGTCTCCCATGCTTCTAGACTTGTATATTTACCCGTCGCCCGTGCATTTCGAAATGTTTCCATGACGTTAGCCAACCTTGTCGTTTGCGACACTAAGCTCAGCCATGTCTCTGGGATGCCATAAATCTGCTTATACAAGGTTTCTGAGAATACACGAGAGTCCTGGAGATGAATATCATGTAGACCAATGTCCGGGTCCTTTGGCTCGTCGATGTTGAGGTCGCTGTCTGAGTTCTTTGCCTCCAGACGAAGAAAATCATCAAGTCGAGGATTACCATTTGCTGCTATGGTATCCATACTAGGCGGCGTCCGAAACTGGGTATCAAGAGCCTCGAGGAAGGACGTTGATGGAGTGTAGTCGTGCAGCACGTAGGTGCTCTCACCCACTATCCGAAGCCAGGTGTAGACGTGGTGCAAAAGACGGGCCTTTTGAGAGATGCGGCGTTTTGGTAGACCTCGAAGCCGTAGTAACCGTTCAGCGTCGACCATCAAACAACGGGCATGTTGTTGCTGGCCAGATAGTACCTGTTCCACAATCAGAACTCGTGGTATGTTGTAATAAGTTGCAAGTTTCTAACCGCGAACTGAATGAGACCACAGATGGCCATCAGTTGATCCTTGTATTTTGCCTTTTTGGGTTCTCGTGTTTCGCACTGCAGTGATATCTGCATATGGTCTTTTGCTTGCTGATATGTCCGCTCTGCAATGCGTCTCCAATATTCCACTGGTTTATCCAGGTCTCTGATTGGCTCTAAAGTAAGATGGATAGAGGAACAAGCCATCAAGCCGTACAAGTTCGCGAGTCGCGCATGGCTAGTTGTTCTAGTACCGAGAAATGTTATATCACTGTAGGTAACGATAGCAGTCGGAAGATTCAGAATCTTCCAAGGAGATTTCTCTCCTAGGGGCACTGCCATCATCTGCGGAATCACATTGTCTTGGAAATGCTTGAATAAAAATGGCGCATCTTCGAGGGAAGTGAGTGCGGTAGATGTGTCTTTCATGGGGGTATGATGCGGAGTGGGCATCTGATCTGCAGCTCCTGGTCCAGGTGGGCTGGTTCGAACGTGTTCATGGTGCTGGTTCACGGGGAACAGCGGTACATTACGCACTCTGCCCTCTGGACCCGACGTCTCAGGAGGCAGATTGAAGTCGAAAGTCTCACCGGCATCCAAAGACAATGAAACGCCTGATTTATCAGGATTCAGGCCTAGCAAGTCAGACCAATGCAAGAAATCGTCCATGTAGGCTAAAGAGTCAAGCGCGGACAGTCCCGGACTAGCCACCGGGAACTCAGTGGCTACCGTTGCGACTAAATTCGTCGGTGCAATATCTGCGCTAACGGGGGTAGCGGTAACGGTTGGGCCTTGGGAAGGATCCGGTTGTCCTCCTGTTGCTGAGCGTTCAGTGGATGGCATTTCGAAATTTAGAACGCCAAACGGTCCGACGACGATGTCACCAGCACATCGACGGCTTGGACTTCGTGATCTGCTGTCAATTTCGGCCAGCGAGGCGTCGATAGATCCCGCAACTAATTCAGTCCCCATTGCAGTGCTCATAGAGAGCCTAGACTTTTCTATCATATGGTTCAATCATTGTCAATCCAAACGAAGGTGCCAAAGGAAGTTACCTGTATAGAGATGTCGACGAGTTCCATGACGACCCACTTCGCTCCTGGCGCTGCCGCTGGATCGTACCCAGCGAACCTCATCTGAAAATCCTTCACAGGCCAGACCTAAAGTATGACAGTTCTCACATGCCGGCCGTTTCTGATCGCATTTCACATGGCGTCGTCTGCATGTGCGACAGCCGCCTAGCGTGTGGGATCGGCGGGGAAGTGAGGGAGAGCCGGAGAGTCTCGAAGGAGGCATGGAGATACCCAAAAGAGGTGGATATAGAGTGCATCCGGAAGGAGGTGATCTAGAAGTAAGGAAGTTCCGGGGAGGAAGGCGGCTGCAAGAAATAGGAAGGTGGCCAACCCTGATTGTAAGCGGGGTTCTCGAAATGGAAGGTCGTCGGAGCCACCTTCCTAATCGGGAAACAGTGCTCCAAAAGAAGATTATCTTGATTGATTCCATATGGATGTCTATCTAAACCAACAATCCTAGGCGACTTGCCTCCACCCGTACTGTTGTCGGAATCTCTTCCTCCAAAGATGGGCCTTGTGGAACCCATCCGAGCAACTTGCGGGCTCTTTGAGAGTTCTGTTTGGCATTGGTGCCCCAAAAGATGCTACCCTTAGCTGTCAACTCGTCAGCCTGGCTGGCAGTGACTCCCTTGACTTCTGTCGAGTTGATGAGGTTCAAACTATGAGCAGCATTTGCAACGAGCTGCGAGATAGTTTTGAAGTTCTATCCATGTTAGCCGCTAATCGTTAAACTAACAATGGGAACCAAATGGCAGGCTTACCAACATAGCATTTCCGGCAAAGTAAATGCCATCCTGGTTCCAAAACTCGCCCTCCTGCCCTTCAACGGCCTTCTCCACGAGCTTGACGAAGATCTCGCTGAGATCAGAGATATAGACATTGCTCCAAGTGCTTTCGCCTTTGCCTACTTGGATGGCCTTTCCCTTCTGCAGGGTGACTCTGGACAGCTCTGGGATTTGGACACTCCGCTGCTTGATTGCACCCCTTCCTTGCCCATAGATAATTGGGGGAAAGATCAGGGCAGTCTTACAGGTAGAGAAACCAAGGACGTAGCTATCGACAGCCCGCGCGGCAGAGTTCTGGCGCACGAACTCGCGGAGCTCGTTGGCACCGTCCATGTCACTGTGGATCGTGTCGGTCGACTCCCCAAACGTACAACTAACGATATCAGGGATCGAATGCACACTAGCCCCTGAGATCTGGATCCAGTGGGCTGTACTTGTTAACAATTTTCTGATCGACTCTAGATGGGTGGATTCTCACCAGGTTTGGAATCACTACGCGTAGCCAAACCACGGCCGATGGCTTCCACGCATTTGATATGACCAGAACTGGCAGCATCTAGAAAGAACTGTTAGAGCCCTTCGATATTTCCCAGTGGCTCCACGTACTGATGATAATATCGGCCTGGCGTACTTCCTCCTCAATAAGAGATGCGGAGTCTAGGTCTCCCGAGACAACCCGGACATCGGGATAGGCGTTCGTGATGGATGCCGCCTTTCCACTATCCCTCAGTAGGACACTACATTTGTATTCAGGGTGACGTGATCTGAGGAGGTGAAGGATATCCCCGCCGACATAGCCGGAAGCTCCAGTACTGTAACCAGATTAGATCCGAGGGTCGTGCAATGAATCTTTTAAGGGTTCTGTACTTACAGAAGAATCCGAGTCATCTTGTTCATTCTACCGTTGTCAATGCAGGGAATTCAATGCAGGTAGTTCTCTCCATGCCCCTCCTGCGAAGGATCGTGCGCATTATAACTCCGCTTCTGATCTACGATCAGGAAGGTGATTCCGCGGGGACATGCTCGGCAGGTCCCACGATAGGAAAGCAATTCCAATCTCGAATCTACAGACGAATGGAGAAATATGGGTATATATCATGTCATATACAGTTGATATAATCCTCTCGAGGTCTATCGAACCCGCTTTGTCTTCAACCCACCAGATACCTCCTACATATTCGTCCGTACGTCTAGCTCGCCTATTCCGAGCAATGGCGCATCGTGGAGAGACCCTGGATAAAGATGTCTCGTGCATTGCCGATCTGAAGGCGTTAGGAAGTCGACGACTTCCGCCGATGGTCAGAGGTTTGTTATCCCCCTGGGTCTATCGTGCTCTCGGGGCTAATTGCAATAGATTACTACAATGAGGGTGCTATGGATCTGATAACGTACAGCAACAGCTCCATGAGGGAACCACGTTCTCACCACGATATAGTTTACGCGAAAACGAAGCAGCCTTTGATCGCTACAAGATCTTGCCGCGGACTCTGGTCAATGTTGACAAAATCGATACAAGCACCGAAATCCTCGGGACAAAGGTATGCATTTCCATCACTGTTTAACTTACAACTTCCTAAACGCAGAGCCAGGTAGCTCTCCCGTTTGGATTTAGCCCTGCTGCCTCTCAAAAACTGGCTCATCCTGATGGGGAGCTGGCTGTGTCGCGCGCAGCCGCAAAGTACGGTATCTGCATGGGCTTGTCATCCTACTCCAATTATCCCCTCGAGGACGTAGCAGACCAGGGCTTCGGAAATCCCTATGCGATGCAGATGTGCGTGTTACGGGATCGTTCCATCACGATTCAGCTTCTCCAGCGGGCAGAGAGTATGTAGTCGCAGTTTGATCCCATCTCTGGTGGTTCAGTTCTAACATGTCATTTAGAGGCTGGATACAAAGCACTTTTCCTGTCCGTTGACGTTCCAGTCCTGGGTAAACGACTTAACGAATACCGGAACAATTATGAACTTCCAAAAGACATGTCCTGGCCAAATATTCTGAGCAGTGGCAGTGATACATCCAACCGCACGGATTACGATCCGAGCCTAGACTGGGAGAGTACGATCCCGTGGCTCAGGAAGCATACAACGCTCAAGATCTGGCTCAAAGGAAGTATGTTCTTCCACTACTGTATAGTTCAACACCAATGATAACGCTGTCATACAGTTTGCAATCCCGACGACGTAGAACTGGCCATCCGATACGGTGTGGATGGCATTATCATCTCGAATCATGGAGGCCGACAGCTTGACGGAATTCCCGCGACTTTAGATGCTTTGAGGTTGTGTGCCCCAGTGGCGAAAGGTCGCATTCCGCTGGCTATTGATGGAGGCATTCGCCGTGGATCCGACATTTTCAAGGCTCTCGCTTTGGGCGCCAGCTATTGCTTTATGGGGAGGATACCCATCTGGGGCCTTGCTGTGAGTGATGTATCTAGCCGTTGCTATGACATACGCTGACGGAAGCAGTACGATGGACAGAACGGTGTGGAATTGGCAATCAGGATCCTGCGACAGGAACTTAGGATCACAATGGCACTGGCTGGGTATGTACTTGATGGGTCCACGAGAGAAGTATACTAACATGTCTTAGTTGCCGGTCAATCAGTGAAATACAGAAGAGTTATTTGACGGTGATGAAGACGGATGGTGTGCTTTCTAAATTATGATCAAATGGATCAGACAGAACTTTACTGAAACAATCTCAGTGACATCCATGCTGATGTCTACTAGTGTTGTGCCGGTATACGTGGACTGCAACATCCGCTGGAATATATATCCGACAATTCTCAGTAGTATAATCAACTAAGAACATTCTAGCATATCGGAGTAGCATACCGTGTAATTGAAAACTGCTGGTGACTGGCGTTGTATCTAATAATTATACAAGAATTATAGATCCAGATTGTGTGAGGAAATCCCTTCGAAGGCTTTCTCCGTAAATCCGCATAGGGCGGATTACCCGTTTGGGCGGGTTAGTCAAGCCCTACGGGTGCTTATCCAATTCTCACCAAGCGCAATGTCATCACCACTCCAGCACTATATAAAGCATCCGCAAGCTGCAATGGAGCCCCAAATCATTTTCAAATACAGAAATCAACCTACCCACTCACTCTATACTTCCAAACAATAGAGACCACGACACAATAAAATTCACCCGTGACAGACATGTCCAGAAGACTCCCCAACGCCAAGATCATTCCTCGCCGATCCGGCGAACGAGGCTACGCCGAGCACGGCGGCTGGCTAAAGACGTTCCATACATTCAGCTTCGCCAGCTACTTCGACCACCGCTTCATGAACTTTGGCAGCCTGCGCGTCCTAAACGAAGACCGAGTCTCGCCGCGCAATGGTTTCCCAACACACCCACACCGCGACGCCGAGATCTTCAGCTACATCCTGAGTGGGGAGCTCACGCACCGGGATAGCATGATCAAGAAGGGCGCGGAGGGCGCGCAGGGAAAGGACTTTTATCGGATGAAACGGGGGGATGTGCAGTTCACCACTGGAGGAAGCGGTAAGACCATCCCCCTTCCCACTACACGATTGGCCCGCGAACTATACTAACAATATGCCAAGGCATCGCCCACTCGGAACAGAACGAAGGCAACAAAACGGTGCATTTCCTGCAGATCTGGGTGCTCCCGTGGAAGAACGGGCTCAAGCCGCAGTATCACACGCGGTCGTTTAGCGAAGACGCCAAGCGCAAGGCGTTCGTGCCCATTTTGTCGCCATTGGCGGCGGGCCCCGAGGCCACGCCGGCGCAGGAGGACGCGGCCGCCCCGAAGATCCCAGACACTATCCCCATCCATGCGGACTTTGTCATGGGGGCGGGGATTATCGCGCCCACGTCGACATTCAGTTGGACCGTGGGGGCGGGTGACGTCGTCAGTAGCCGCAGGAAGCGGAATGTGTATGTGCACCTGCCGATGACGAAGAATGGAAAGGCCAAGATTCGGCTGGATGGGCGAGAGGATGCAGAGTTGAGTGAGGGCGATGGTGCTTTTGTTTCGGGGGTGAATGCCGGCGATGTGTTGAATGTAGAGAGTATTGGAGAGGCTGAGGCTGAGGTGATTGTTCTGGATAGTGATTAAGATGGGCGTTATTCGTGCACAATAATTATAAACTAAGCTATCGCAGGCATTAAGATGATGCATTGTATGAAATTTGCTATGTTACATGAGTCTAATTGAATACTTGAAACGAACAAGACGGACTTAATTACACAAAATTGATTGGAAGCGATGAGTATAGGTACTTCCATGCACCCATCTGTTAATAGCAATACGGTGTGCCGTCGATATCTAACGACGCCCAGCATCGGCCTTGATGAGATCCGCTGCCCGTTCGGCCACAGCGTATAGGGTGCTCACCAAATGGCCGCAGACCTGGAACGGAAGCACCGAGGCATCGACAACTCTGACATTCGTAGTACCATAGACATTCAGACGCTCGTCCACGACACCGCCAATCTCACGAGGCATCATGGCAGCCGTGCCGACGGGATGGAAGTTGGAACGATCTAAGCTGTTGTTAGGAATCTGTATGCCCATTTTGTTCGGAATGCACTGAAACTTACAGTTCTTATCAAAGACCCATTCTTTCCAGCTCTGCTCAGAAGCGTTCCGGGGGATAACATCATAGCCAGGGGTAGACTCCTTAACGATGCTGCTGAGAGGGTAGCTCTCGAACGAGCGGCGGATATACTTTGCAACGGCGACGTAGCTCTTCGCGTCCCAGTCGAGCATGAAATAGTTGGGGTTGATGACAGGGAACTCGGCCGGGTTTGAAGAACCGATATGAACACTTCCACGAGCGAAGGGAAGGAGGGCCCAGAACTCTGCAAACACGGACGTCGCGCTGCCCGGATAGTTCAGGACTTCTGCAATTGGAACTCTGCCCTTGAAAATAAGGTCATACTGGACCTCGAAGAGACGCTCCAGATCGGCGGCCTTCATGATGTTTCCGTTGGCCTTGGCGGTGTCGGCGGCGTATTGCTTCAGGTTGGCACGAATCTGTTTGGCGACCGACTCGGCTTCGTCACCGAAGACGTCATAGACATCGGGGTAAGAGACTGCCTTGGTTCCAGAGATGGAAGTGTTGCCCGACGCATCCATGTGGCTGTTCACCTGGTCCTGAAGGTTCTCACCGACAGTAGGGAGGTTGACCTTGACGGGGATGTTGTACTTGTCAAGAACGCTAGGGTTGCCAATTCCGGAAAGTTCAAGGATAGCCGGGGACTTCAAGGCGCCGGCAGAGACAATGACTTCCTTCTCCGCATTGATAACACGAACAGTGCCGTTCCTGGAAGTGATCTCGACACCACTGGCAGTGATGTCGCCATCACGGGCTTCGCCGTCCCACACAATCCGGTTGGCAAAAGTGTTGAGCAGGACATGCAGGTTGGGACGGGACTTGTAAGGCCAGTAGTATGCACGAGCGGCGTCTTCGCGAACATACTCCTCAAGATTCACGGTGGAGGGGTATAGGTTAAAGCCGCGCATCTTTCCGCCATTGACGTCCTCAGTCCATGGGAGTCCCATGCCCTGGAAGGTACGGTTGAGGTAGGTGGTCAGGTTGTTCGACTCGATCTGAGTGAAGGCAACGTCAAGGGGACCCTCGTGGCCGTGGGCTCCAGCTTCATACGACGCTCCAAGAGAAGTCTGCGATTTGGTAGGGACAGTGAAGTTCTCGCTCTTCCGATAGTAAGGGAACAGATTCTTCCACGTCCATCCTGTGTTGCCAATGGTTTCCCAGGCGTCGATCTGGACATCCTCGGCGCGGGTATAGGCCATGCCTGTAGGTAGAGTCAACTCGTTAGCTAAACCTGGTGTACCTATGGATGGAATACCAACCGTTAATAGTACTAGTACCACCAAGGGCCTTGCCGGCACGCAGCACTTGACTGACGTTGCCTCCATATGGCTGGTTGACGGACTGGTATTGCCAGTCAATGTCAGACCCAAATGCAAGCCCATAGCCATTCACGTTTGTGACATTGGGATTGTTCCAGACCGAGCCACCGGCCTCCAGAATGAGTACGTTCACGCTTGGGTCCTCCGATAGACGGTTTGCGACGGCCAAACCGCTGGTACCGCCTCCAATAACGATATAATCATATTTGGCGGACGTGGAGTTGGACAAAGGTGCTGCCACTGCCAGGGACAGGGCACTGAGGAAGGAGAGCTTTCCCATCATGGTTTGTACGGACGATGAAGTGGCCCCTGAAATCCGATAGAACCGCGTGGTAGCATGCCTTCATATACTTCACGATCCCTCTAGTTCGGTGCGACAGCGCAGGGGTCAGTTGCATAATCGTTTGTCAGCGGGTCCCTCATTTAGGAAGGGATCCCAGTCCCACAGCACCGGTTGGAAACGCCTTCTAAGTTTAGCTTATCGCGAGGGTCCAACTATGTGGCCTGCCTGTCGCCTGCATTCCCTTGCTGTCGCTGCTGACTTTGTGCGGATGACCCCATGTGGCGACGTATGATGATGACTGGTATGTAGCATCCCACTCTCTAGATGGAATTGTCAAAATTCAGCATGCACTGCAGAGTGCCTTGAGAATCGTGTCAGCACGAGACTATAGTCACCGTACTAACTACTAGGTAGACGGCAGAAGTTTCCACACCCGCGGATTCACCGGGAAAAGGTCCACTTCTTCCTTCAGATGAATTCTCGGCATGCCGATCAGGGCCTTCGTCCGTGGATTGTCCGGAGTTCGGCCATGATTACTGATAGATTACCAACGGGTTGTGAGATTTCTTCAGTAATAATGGTGAGACCAGGAGCGGAAATACTCCGACGATTTCCCGCTTACTGCCCCTGTGAGCCATACAGGAGTCTGGCAGATGTTTCATCGAACATTCTTCTCGCAGCGGCTGACGAGCGGGACGGTGCTGATCGCACCGAGAGTTTGGCTAACGTTCTTCAGTCTCACTACAGAGTCTCTCCGTGATGGAACACGGAAGATCATCCGTTGATCCTAATTTGCATGACTGATTGATTAGATCAACCAGAGCAGCGCTGACGAGATAAGATGCTGAATTCGAGGAACAGTACGGAGTATGTCGTTTGATGTTCGCTAAGACGCAGGAACGTTTCGACAAGTCTTTTTACTGTGGACAGGGTGGGTATCATCGCTTGAACGCAGCCTGGGCTGTGCCGTTGAAACTTTCTGCGTATGACATTGAAAAGCCTCCATCCGGCTGGGACGATGTGATCCCGTTAGACCACCCAGCGTTTTCCACAACGGGGCCTAATATAGGCTATTATAAGGTGCCCGTGAGCCCCTGGACGAAATTTTCATTAGCCCGAAAGTTCAGTGTCGAATTCCTCGGAGGGTCGTCCTGTTTCGATGTTGAGCCCATCTTTCGCACCGAATCACCAATTGGATTACCGTACCTAAGAGGACGCAGGATCCTAGTGTAGCAGTCAAGATCTAGCAAAACGTGTGATATCGAGTTCCAAATAGATTGTACCACATCGGATCCTGACAATACTCGTCTTGAGCATGGGGCTAGCTATCGTGAATGCTTCGGCCCTCTCAACCGCCGTTGCTTCATATGAGAATTGTCTCAACCTTCTACTAGCGGAGAAACGGGTTCTTAGAAATGCACCGAAGACATTACGGAGTAAGTCTTCGAGAATCGTCCACGGCGATAAAGGTGGTCCTTCATGGTCTGGAGGGCTCCACCGTGAAGGATTTGAGATCGACTTCCCTATCCGGTTTAGTCTCTCCATCAGCATCCTCACCCTCCAGACATCGCGAACGACAAATAAATCAAGAATTGAGACAGGCATTATTTTTCAGGCTTTGAATCGACCTGGACTACGCCATTCAAGAGTCGAATTCTAACAGGATACCGTTTGAATACAAGAATCTGACGACCATCGCCGGCGGGAGTTTCTCTTCAGGATGTAGGTAACATCATCAGCTACAAAGAAAGCGCTTTTGTGGGATTGCCAAATTGGTACGTAGGCAGTTTTGAGACGCATCTCGACTTCGCGCATGGTGGAGAATGCGAAGTCTAACATCAACATCCATATATAACAGCGGTATAGATGCAACATTGAGGTAGACGGATGCCATGCCAGCCCCACATTGGATAAAAATGAACAAAATATTCTAGAAGGTCCTGATCCTTCGCGCAGAGATTCTCTTCCCTTTCAATAGAAAACGCTCCCAGCGCCAGATACTTGCGCTACCTATCTGTTCCCACAGATGGCTCAGCAGGCAATTCGTACCTCATATCTTCCTTATCTGCGGGTTTCTCATACACATGGGTATGCTCCGGCTGCCGCGGGCTTTCGGAGCCCGTCACCGGCTGGAATGAATATGAGGCCCCCGAAGCCATGGCTGTTTTGCTTTTACGCTGTCGACGCACAAAGAATGCGACGAATCCAACTACGGCGATCACTCCCGCAGCAACACCCACACCAATGCCGGCTTTTGCGCCGCTCGAGAGGCCGGACGCGTGCTGGGATCGCTCGGTTGTAGGAATTGGGCTCGAGTCAGATCCCGTACTGGTCGGAGTAGATGTGGAGGATGTAAATGACGTTGACGCCGACGTGGATGTGGATATAGATATTGATGTTGATGTTGATGTGTAGATGTTGGCAGGGACAGTGACAGCATCATTCGTACCGCAGCAATCCGTAGTATATCCGCAACACCAGGTCTCAAAATAGTCGGTGCCGTCGCAGGGAGTCATCGGGGCGTTGCCGAGTTCATCAATGCTTCCCTGGCATGACATCAGCTGTGAGCCACATGATCGACCTGCGTATTGTGTCCCATTGGGACCCTACAGGTGACATACTGCTCTAGTACAGGCCTTCAAACAGCCGACTTCGGGCCAAGTAGATACTGAGCACATGTCTCGCCAGTACGTGGCATCGGCGGATTCCTCTGATTTGACTTTGCAAAGCCCATTTTGGAGACAGATATCGTTCCACCCGCAGCACATGCTCACCGCACCCTCGACGCTATTGCACACTATTGTCCCATTGTAGGTGCGGCTGATGCCGTCGGGTCTATAGCATGTCACATCTTGCGCAGAGGCTAGGCGACAGATCGCGAGAATGACAAAGAGATGTCTCATGTTGCCATTAAGCAGGTGGCGACAGATAATGTTGTTGTGGGCAGCTTGGCCAGAAGAGCAAGCGAAAAAAGGGGCCAACAACACGTAAGGCTGAATTGCTAGGAATGGCGCTAGAAGAGGAACACACCCTACTTCATCTTTCCAATCGGCCTGCTGGATTCAGGTTGTTTGGATTAGAGCAAACAATTCTGCAATAGGCATATTATGCTACGGTTTACTTATGGTTAGGTTAATGTAGCGGACTAAAAAAGGAGGCTATGTGCAAGCAACCTGCGATTCCTCTCAGTCTATAGGGTTCTACAACTTGCACTCTTTTCCAACAGTCATTGCCTCTTGAAGTCCTCTAAAGGAATCCCTCGCTCTGATGCCGGCAGTTTCCACTTGAAAGCTCTCGTCACGCATGCGCGAGTCAAATAGCTCCAGCGAAACCCATCCAGTGAACCTTTTATCCACTCACAACATCAACTACCGGCATGTATCCCCCTAGTTCAGCTTCTAAAGGTAAAGGTTGAGCGTGCTTCGACCAAGTGAACTCTGGTGCTTCTCCCTCTAGATCTCTAGATACCATACATGCTGGGTAGACAAAGGCGGGCTGAACTTTTCACCATCGGACAGCTGGACATAGAAGATCTTCTCAAGCGGAACTTCTCTTTGAACTCCCGCAGCGAGTCGGAGAGAGATTGGTATGCATTCGGATATTTCCCCAAGATTGCAAATGGACTTGCCCGGACGTTCGTGACCTCGTGGAAGTTGCCCAAACAGGTACCAAAATTAGGCCGGTCGGCAGAATTGATCAGATGCAGTACCATCTGCCATGTCGAGCAATACGTTTCCCCACGAGAGGTTCTCATAGGCGATAGGGACCAGCGGAACCTTTGCGCTCCCAAATCGGCCAACTGGCGTAGCTCCGAAACAATCACTCCCTCGTCGGTGCAGGCGTCCTTGCGGAACTGGAAGGAAACTTGGAGGTAAGGCGCCTTCAACGTGCTGGCTATTTCAGTCCAGTGGCTGGCCTCTTTCCAGCCTGTCGGATAGTGGCGAGCAAGCTCCTTCGAATCTTCAAACGGTGCAAGCAACAGGACTTCGATCTTGTTTTCGTGGCACAACGTGGCGACCTTCCGTGCGGCTTGGAGGATTGGGATGCTGAGGCTTTCTGCGTAGGCCTCCAGGTCAGAGTAGACAACTTCCACGGCCTCGAATCCGTACTGCGCGGGAACTGGAATCTTCTTGTCTAGGGTATGAGAAGGATGTTGACCTAGGCCCAGAGTCCCTATTGCGCGCTTGTTGGTAAGCATTTTCCCCGTTGGCTGGAGGTATCAATATGGTATGGATCCCGACCAGGCGACACTTCGACGGGCTGTAGGGGTTTTAACCGAGTGCTCCTCCGTAATATCGGAACCGTGTTTCCGGCATTGGAATGAAAATGTACGAAGTACGTCGAATGCCTATTTTGGTATCTATCAAGATTCCAAATGAACAATGGATTTACTCCACCGACCTCTCGTAGCAGCCGGAGCTCTATTACTTTGTGCAGTCTAATCAAATCTAATACAGCAAACGCTACCTCACAACACATCAGACACATAATCCATCAGATTCACAGCGACAGTCGCATTGATTGCCCTGATCGCCGCGGTGTAGTAAGGGATCTCCAATCCCTTGTTTACGACTCGATTTCCGTGGAGGCCAATGTTCACAGTGAAACCTTCGCCGCTGTCACCCCATAGGCCTTCGTGGATGAGGGAGTCTATATCTATGTCCCCTAGGACAGCTATTCCAGAGACATTGTGTGCATTATGCTGGAGGGTCAGGTTGGGAAGGTAGATCCATCCGATGTCTGTATCTCCAATTGTGAGGTTGAATGTCGCTTCGCCCTGGGATTATATGTTGATCAGTCTATCCGAATTTGTTCGGGTCAATCTGACGCTGCTCACCATCTGGACGGTGAATGGGGTTGGGTTGCGGACTGCGACAGTCGCGTTTACATTGAATCCATTCTCGCCGGGGGTCCGTGTGAAGTTAAGGTTGGTGACATTAAAGGCGCCGTCGCTGTTGACGAACTCTTAAGACGAGAAAAGGTTAACACCATTACCGGTGTGTCCATAGCGCACACACTGACCTTGTACATCGTAGCCTAGGAGACCGTCAGCATGCTCTACCTTGAAAGGTTCCAGGGTGATCATGCCATACCTTGCATTTTCATCGTCTTATGGATGTCCAGATGAGCTGTGGGTAGGGCTCCATACTTCAAGTCTGGGTCCCCGGTGACAAGGACGGAGATCTCATGATTTGAAGCAGCGGCAGCAGCCATTTCTGAAAGACAGCTAACACAAGAGATTTCCAGCTCTTGGTCGATGTTGAACTCTGCGCCATTATCGAAGTCGATCTGCGGGACTGGAAACACCGCAAATTGCGCATCAGAGTTGGCATTTTTGATGGTCGCGTTGAAGGCCGACAAATGCCCACTGCCCGTAAAACCACCACCCATGCTAAGACTCTTTGATTGTTTGACGCGAAAGGAGTTGGGCGTGGGATCGATGATGGCAAGGCCGTCGTAGTCGTAATCGTACTTGTTGATGTAGTCGCTAGCAAAGCGTGGCATGCCCACATAGATGCTATTCATCGTGGTTAGAGGAGCCTGAAGCACGACCGCAGACGCAATAACTCACATTGGTAGAACAATAACCAGAACAATGCAACAGAACCCGATCAGGTATGCCCACCACCATTTTTTCATATGCCTCTTCCATCGCTGGAAGAATGTCGGCTTTGTCGGTGCAGCGGCGACGTTGATGTCTGAGCCATCAGACACCTGTTCTATGTCTTGTTTGGAATCTTTTCCGAACATCTCTATGTTTGTTTCTATCGGGCCTGTGGCGGAGGGTTCGTGGTAAATTCACGATTGTTGATCAGGGTGTTGTATGTGAAAGCCGCATCTTCCCCCCGTTGATTTTGGTGGGAACACAGGCAAGTGAAGAAGCTGAAGAGAATGGGGACCAGCAGCCCACTTTTATTTGTATCGAGGCGAGTGTTAGTTACCCCATGGGGCCAGGAGCGAATGTCGATCGCCCGTCCACTTCACATGAGAATACGATGCAATACGCAGCGATGTGCCGCGGCCATGATGTCACCCTCCCTGCATCTGAACATGGATTCATCGGAATACGCGATGAGTATGGAAGCGATGCCTGACAGAATCTGAGAGGTACATCGACAAAACAAGAGTTGCGCAAGACTCTTAACCGGGCATCGGACCTCGGACATCACGGGTGAAGCTCTAGGGCGTTCGGAGGCCCCGCCGAGAGGGAGCCCTAAACGTTTGAAATTAAGACGCGCATCCATGATTCATTGAGCGCCACCGGAGCGAATTACTGGCCGATAAGGGAGATCGACGTTGCCTCTTCCCTGGTCTAGTCATAGACTAGGATATCCGTCCGATGGTAGTGGCAAGAGCCGCACAGACACCAGGTCAAGCAGTATACTAGATAACCCTGTCGGAGTCAGTAAGAGTTTCATTGAGGACCATATACCTCTACATGAATCGAATCACGTATCAAACGGTCTAAGAAAGGAGAAAGATGGAAGAGCTATCTCTCGTCCCGCCGTCTACCCTATCTACGCGCTCGTTTCAAAGATACAGTCGATATTATCAAATATTTTGTGCTCTTATACAAACAAATACAGCACCTTCGTGTCCTACTATTTCCAGATACTCTATCCCGTGAAAGCGCTTTGGAAGGGAAGACATCAGGATACCTATATCTACTAAGACCTCGTGGTCTCCGGGATTGCCAACCGATACATCCTCGAGCTCCCAGTTGAGAGTCCCCGTGTTCTTCTGCTCATGAGCAAACAATTGCAGAAGCGAACACCATTTTGGGTCGTACTTGAGCAAGATATCGATATCAGAAGTTGGTCAAAGCACATACTAGTATCTAGTATCCCCGCTTCATGATCTACTCCGTCTCCGCATCTTGGCTAAATGGCGCGTGGCTGAACAGGAGGGGCAGTGAGTGTTCAAGCACGATAACCTCGGTGATCAGTACCGACCACTGGTCGATACCTATGATACTAAGAAAGATCCATGTGTATTGCCATTCAGACAGATCACCCTATATAGCTCGTCTCTGAAGATGAGATGATTTTCTTCAATCGGTAGTTGAAAGACCCCACCTGGATGATTGATAAGCATGGTGGGGAAGCTTCGAGAGCTGCATCACAATTATTGCGTAGCTAGACCCTGACCCCGACTTTTCTTCTTCACATATCTACAACCTCACAGTTCGTACTCCAAGCGCAACAATCTGCAGGCCCGTTCCCAATCCTCCCAGTCACTACCCCATCCCATTATGGCTGAGGCAAAGACCATGCGAGCAATCGGTACGTCTCCACCCCATCAGAGCAGTCACTACAGCTACAATCTAACCTCTGTCACAATTCACAATGCTAATAATCACAGCCGTGAAAGGAGGCACCGGCCCAGCCGAAGCCCTCTACGTCGACACCATCCCGGTGCCCACCATCAGCGGGAACCAGGCTCTCGTCAAGATCAAAGCCTTCGGACTCAACCGGATGGACCTGCTGGAACGGGAGGGCAAGTACCCAGTTCCTCCACAGGCGCCCAAGACCATGGGCGTGGAGTTCTCGGGGACCATCGCCGCCCTGGGGCCCGATAGCTGCGCCGATTTCAAGGTCGGAGACGAGGTCTTCGGTCTCGCGTACGGCGGTGAGTGTCGCCCTCCACATGATGTCACCGTGTGCAGACACCCTAACATATCAACGCTGTAGGAGCATACGCCGAGTTCATCGCCGTTTCGACCAACATGCTGATCCACAAGCCGGCCGAGCTGTCCTGGGAGGAAGCCGCCGGCATTCCCGAGGTGGGTCTTTCATTCTCCCAACCCCCCCTCTTGCTGGGTCTGTACTGACAAACCGTCACCAGACATGGATCACAGCCACGCAGGCGCTGTACGTAGTCGGGGAGTTCAAAGCTGGGCAGTCAGTCATGTGGCACGCGGGCGCCTCGTCCGTGTCGATCGCGGGTATCCAGCTGGCGAAGGCGGACGGCGCAAAGGCCATCTACGTGACCGCGGGTTCGGATGAGAAGGTCGACTTCTGTGTCAACAAGCTCGGCGCGACGGCCGGGTTCAACTACCGCACGCAGGACTGGTCTGCCGAGGTGCTCAAGGCGACCGGCGGCGAGGGCGTGAATGTCATCATCGACTTCATCGGCGCCGGATATTTCGCCGGCAACTTGAACGCTGCGGCTCGCGACGGCCATATTGTGAACCTGGCCTTCCTTGGAGGCACGAAATTGCCCGAGGGTGTCGACATCTCCGCGTTCCTGCGGAAGAGAGTCCGCTACGAGGGCAGCACGCTGCGCAGCCGCGACGAGATGTACCAGAAGAAGCTGCGGGATATGCTTGTCGAGCATGCGCTTCCGCGGTTCAAGACGGGAGAGTTCAAGGTCTTCGTGGAGAAGGTGTTCCCCTTCGAACAGGTGGTGGATGCGCATAAGTTGATGGAGAGCAACCAGACCAAGGGCAAGATCATCTGTACCATTTAGAGCGGGGAGGACTAAAACCGATCATAAAAGTCGTATAATATCATGACTGATGGATCGCTTCTTTCTATGACAAAATGTACCATCGTGGGCCTATATCAGTTTGGTTATTGCATATCTCACCACGCAGCTGCCACTCAGGACTGATGGAATGTTGATGGTCGTGACACATAGCAGTCAATTCTCACGCTCTATATGCTGTACGGAGTATATAGGGCCAGTCCCTGACATAACTACAGAATCATGCAGACTGCGACTTCAGCCACTCCTCGTGGATCTTTTTCTGTCTTTCCCATTCCTTCACCAGCTTCTTCCTTTTGTTCTTCGCAACCTCCTCCCCATCTTTGTCTTTCAGGGGAACACCATTCTCATCCCAAGCAGAGTATTCCGGAGTCTTGAACATCTCCAAGTGACTGAGCTTGGCCTTCTCATTCAGTAGCCGCTGTTTCTCGGCCTGCTCGGCTTCCCGCTTGCGCTTGGCTTCCAGCTTTGCCGACGCAGCCTGTTCCTTCTCTGCACGAGCTTCCTGAAGAGAGCGATCGACAGGGCGAACAAGCGCAGGAGTCGGAGCATCGCGATCTTCAATGTAGATACCCAAGTTCCAGAGATGCGTATCACGCAGCTGATCGCAGAGCGCCAAGAGATCCTTGGAGGCCGCGTTCTTGGAAGCGAGCTCTTTCACGTCCTGTCGGAATTGCTCGGACACCTTCTGGTAGGGGTCAGGGGAGGTTGCATCGACGGTGGCGGGAGGTGATGTCGGAACACTAGTGTCCGCGAGCTGGGAAATCGCAGCGTAGTCGACAGACCCTCCACGAGCCATCTGGCGAATCTGGTCCCGAAGGTTGGACACGGGGTAGATGTATGCTTGGGCGGAAGCAGGGAGGTCAAGGCCGGACCAGCCGACTCGGCTAGGGTCGTTGAGGTCGCCCTCCGCGTCGAGACCGAAGATCGTCACCATCCGCGTCACCCAGCGAGCCAGTTCCAACACGGTCGCGTCAGAAACGTCTTTAGCAATGTTAAATTCTGAGACGAGCTCAGAAATGGCCCGCATAGCGCCCGGTGTGTAGAATGAGTCGCACAAAGCGGCGTGAAGATCCGATTTGGCCTTTTCGAGGGCAGCAAGCAATTGCTTGTCCCCCTCCGTGTTTGTGGCAGAAGACGAGTTGCCGGTTGCTTGGTTTCTCGCGATTTCCTTGCTCTTTAGGAAGAAGTTGTTCAGCTTTCCTTCCCAGGACGTCGTCGTCTTCAGTAAATCTTCAGTGACTTCGACACCGGCTTCCCACGGGCCGAGGAGGAAGCAAATGCGAAGAGAGCGCGAAGTCCACTGACCCTGGGACAGAGCAGCCCGTATCGTGGTGAAGTTCTTAAGACTCTTGCTCATTTTCATGCCCTGGATGCTGAGATGACCCGTGTGGATGAAGTAGTTTACCCACTGTACGCGGGGGCCCGTGGACCAGTATGCCTCGGACTGAGCCAGCTCGTTGTCGTGGTGGGGGAATCGAAGGTCCGCTCCTCCAGAGTGGATATCGATCGCCTTTCCAAGCACGTCGGACGCCATGACGGAGCACTCAATGTGCCAACCCGGGCGACCAGGAGCCCATGGACTGGGCCACGAAGGCTCGCCGGGCTTACTGGCTTTCCACAGTGCAAAGTCGCTTTCGCTCCGCTTGACGGTGGTTTTGTTAGTTAACGATCCTTCGCCATCCGCCAGCAGGCTCTTATCGTTCCGGTTCCACGGTTCCAGGCGAGCATAGTTATGCCCGGCCTTCTCGAACGCCTCAATGTCAAAGTAAACAGAACCATCGGGAGTCGCGTAGGCAAAGCCGCTGGCAATAACCTTTTCAATGAAGCTAACGACCTGCGGAACATATTCCGTAACACGCGTCAGAACATCAGGATACAGAACATTCAGCGAGTTCATATCCTCAAAGAACCGCTTTTCGAATTTCTCGGTAAGCCTCGTGAAGATGCTGTGGTCGTTGGAGTCGATACTGGAGCCGTGTAGAGAATCGAGGTACGGCAGCAGAACATCCTCCGTTTTGCCATAAAACTCAGACAACTTTCCGGGGGCCTGTAGGGCTTCCGCAGCGGACGCAACAGTTCGCAGATGAACCTTAAGCTTGGCTTCCGTGTCCCCTGGAGGCGCGTCACCCTCCAATGCCTTGCCCTCGAATATCCTCTTATACGCCTTGTCCGACTCGGCCGCGTAGGTTTCTGGCGTGACATCCGCGGACAAGAGGGGCAGGTTCTTTTTGATGTAGAATTCCACGGCCGCCTTCGTTTCCGCAAGAACTGGCTCAGGAACCGGGCCGTCCAGGGATCCCGACTGTTTTTGTTTGAACTGCTCCAGCAGGTACTGCTGGCGACCACGAAGGATGATTTTGTCGTCAATATCCGTGATGTTCATGACATATTTCACCTGGTACCCGAAGTAGTCCTTCAGGATTCGGCGCAGAATATCCGTAGACACATAGTTCCGGGCGTGGCCCATGTGGGCGTCGTCGTAGACTGTCGGACCGCAGGTGTACCATGTCGTGGCTTTTCCCTCGGGGTCAATCGGAACGTAGTCATCCTTTCTGCGCGTCAAGCTGTTGTAGATCTTCAGCGGGGGAAGCTGGACGTTTGGACGCCGCTGCGGGGGGATCCACGGTGGTTGTTCGCGAGTTGTAGAAGCCATTCTGAATCTGGGGGGAGAAGTCAGCGGGGAAGAATCGTTGAGAGAAAATCGCTCATCCTGACCGAGTGATAGGCACGCGACACCCGGAAAATTGCCAACGAACAGCCCTACAGATCATCAGGAGGGGTTGGCGGCTTTTTTGAAGCCAAATCACTGACTCACTTCATCGGTGGGATGGGTCACGTGTATCGCCCAACACGGCAGGCGGTCGCTCATTTTCCAACAAGCAATTCTCTCATCTTCCTTTGCAGATATGTTCAACTAGTCTAGGTACGCCTCTATGGTGTAGATGTTCTTGTCTGAGGTGTGTTGTATTCTCCTTGGCTCTTTCTCTTCAAAGTCAGCACAGTGACTCAGCATCGAATACTACTAGTCATTCTGCTGCTGGTCCTCTGCGTCCATCTATATATATTCACGAACGGATGTATGTTGTCGCAGAACTGTGTTCTCAATGACAATGCGAGTATTCAATACCGGAAAACTATGATGATTTATTTCAAGGGTCTTATACAGACAATCTGCCCGTAGGATATCCATTGCACAGCTCCGGGCTTTCTTATTTCCCTTGACTCTGTTCGTTGCCGTTCATTCGGGAGATTACTCGATTAGGAGATGATCCTTGGTTCCGCGACTACACTTATTGCCCACGGCTGCCCAGTTGATGTAATGGCACAGGTCTTTATATAATTAAACCGACGCCTGTGGTTGTATTTCTACAAAATATAAACACAAGTATCTGTTAAGTTGCCTCCTGACATTCACCCAGCATAATCACATTCGGTCGCTTCTCGTTTGGTGCTAGCATCAATTCAGATCTTGAACGACCTCGTATACATGACTGATGGTGACGAAAGGCATGTCTGCTATCCAAAAGGTTCGATTCACCCCGATTGCCGACGGTGCACCTGCATTTCAGTTGACCATGCAATGCGCATAGGCAGTTATCATCGGCGGCGGCCCAGCTGGACTCGCAGCGGCGATCCGACTTAAAGCACATAATGGCATTGACACAACCGTCTACGAGATCCGGCCGGAACCAACCACTCTAGGCGGCGCGGTGAACATTCCTTCCAACGGCCTACGCCTTTTTCATCAGCTGGGGCTGTATGAGAAGCTCTCTGCCCGAGGGTCCTCCACGTCGCAGCTCACTGTGCACTCTCTGCAGGGCACTGTTCTGGTGGATTTTGACATGGCGGGCTGGAGCCGCACAAAAGTAGGGTTTGGTTTCATGCGCATCTTACGGACCGACCTTATGGACGTACTTTTGGAAGCGACTCGGCAGCAGAACATCCCGGTTCACTTCGGCAAATGTATGCAACTCATCACCGAGGATGAGAATGGAGTGAAGGTCACCTTCTCTGATGGTACCACTGTGTCCTGTGACATACTACTTGGCTGTGATGGTATCCACTCTGCCGTCCGCTCGCTGCATGTCGATCCAGCAGCAAAGCCGGTCTACTCGGGCATCTCCAATATGTTCACAATCCTGCCGACGTCACGTCTCTCGAGTGGCAACGGAGCAATCCCTCCCGCTCTGCACGCCACGTTGACCCCGGAGGGAATGCTGGGAGTCATGCCCTGTACCGCCTCTGGGGACCGTTTATACTGGTTCTATTCGCGCGAGGTCCCAGTACCGGACGGGGAAACCGATCGCGAAGGCTGGGAAGAGTTCGGCGAGAAAGCAGTCAAGGGATTCAAGGAAAATACACTGGAGGTCATTCGGAGCGGGCATGGAGGCTGGTCGGAACAACTGCGCGAGATTATCTCCAAAACCGATACTATCAAGTTCTACCCCATATACAAGATGCCGACAGCTGCGACCTGGTCCACAAAACGCTGCTTGCTCATGGGCGATGCAGCGCACGCGATGCAGCCCCATGCAGGACAAGGCACGTCGATGGCCTTAGAGGACGTCTTTCTGCTTTCGCGACTGCTGGAAGACTCCACGCGTCCACTGCCGGAGCTATTCCGGGACTACGAAACCATTCGCAGACCGCGGGTCGAGGCCATCACCCTCCAATCGAGTGAAAATGGAGAAATACGGAAAAATGTCAGTCCCATTGGGCTCCGGATTAAAGAAACTGTTATTGGGCTAGGGTTCTGGCTATACAAAACTGCGGGACTGCAGAAATGGGGAATCGGGATGCAGCAGAAGGATTTCGTCTACGACATCATGGCGGAGCCTCTTCCGCCAAGGGGCGTTGATCAATGAAGGCATTATGGGCTCTGTGCCAGTTTTATACATAGTGACCCTCAGCTACCCTGTGCGTCAGCGTCAGCGTCAACGTCAGGGATAACCTGACTTAAGAGGATAAACGAACCAGACACTTGTAACGATAACATATATCCAAACTCATCATTATAAGTGAGGCTACCGTGAATCGCTAGTAGACAGGCTTCGGTGGCTATGGGTCAGTTTCCGTAGAACATATCTGCTGAATCGGTTACAGACCTCGCCCAAAACTGTTGTATAACAGAGATTAATTGTACATCCAAGTGTAATATTGAGGTTCTTTCCTCGCTCACATGTTGCATTGGGCTATAACCTGCGCCGTAGTCTAGATGATTCGGAGACGTTGCCTCACTGCATGTAAATTTTATGACCAGCATGATGAGGATTCATATATATGCACTTAGATATCTCATTATGTTCTAGGAACACGGGGGAAAAGCAAAAAGCCCTCATTGACCACAGGAACCAAGAATTACCATGAACAATGAAAATGCTGCGAACGAAACCTGTCTGGTTATCTTCTCTGATATTTCCATAGAGGATCAATCCTGCGTTGGAGCTCTATGCCGCACAGCTGGGTGCATTATGACTCAGTCGCACTTCCGGTCAACAAAAGTATAGACCAGTCTTCCCATTCGGTGGTTGCCCTTGGTGTCCGACATCACCAGGCGACGGACATAGCGACGCTGCCCGTCGATGATTTCAAAACCCCAGACCTTTGCACAATAGTCAGAACCAACGAAACCTGCGTTTATTCGAATATGGCGACACTTTACCTGTTCTGCGATCCACTTCGGTTCCTGGCTACGGATTACCACCTCCATCCAGAGCCCGTCTTTTCCACCTTCAAGAGGCTCCGTTGCCTGAGCTTTCTCGACAAGGAAGCCATCATAAGGCATGCAGGCCTCATCGATCTCCGCTCGCAGGAATTTCTCAATATTGGGATCATTTATCTCCGTCCGAGTCTGCACACACGGGACCGGTCTTCCTGTTTGGTTTGTGGTGCTGCCGATAAACCGGGACTGAACGATTGTTTTCCCAAAGATGTGATCTTCCTGGGGGTACTCCTGCCAGTCCAAGTAGCGGTGTTCGGTCGTGCCACCCAAATTGACATTGGCTGCCTGGCTGATAGCAATTTGATGAATTGTGTCGCCGGTGCTGGGACTGGGACCCTCGAATTGTCTCATTTTAACGGTGACTTCCGTCATCCCAATGGCTTTCCGCACGACCCAGTTGATTCCTTGCTATGAACAATGTCAGTAGGTGAAGACACCTGTCTTGTTGCACTAGATACCAATGAAAGCAGCGGATCGGAGTCGGTCGAGAGTTTTTTGTCCTGGAGGTTCCAACAACGTTAGTATGCAACGGTCAAGCGAAGCATTGTAGGCAATTAAGAATAGTTCCTGTCACCCACCAGCATCCATGTTCCGGTGAGGTTTTCGATCGAAATGTCACTCGGGGCGGCCATGTTGGTAATGTTGCGTTTAGAAGACGAAGAGTATCTGGTTCATCAACAATGCTTGAGGGAGATTCCAGTTAAAATTGTAGTGCTGGTTATGTCAAACCGCGCGAACAATTGGATGGATCTCTGGGTCAATTTATATTACCCAACCCATCGATGGTCCGCTTCACGGCCATGATCATCCTTCAAACCAAGATACTCGGCAGAGTCATAACTCGAGAGATAGACAGAAAAGGGAGCTTTGCCGCTCAGCATGACGGTGTCGGGTAAACGATGTTCGGTTGATTTCCCAGAAGGGTATTCCGCCGTATATCGTCAATTCCCGGATACCTCATTTCAATATCCACGTGCCAGACGCAATCGGCCGCACTTTCTCTTGCATTCAATATATAAGTATAACTGGCAGTATTCGCTGGTATGTCAACTTTATCTTTCATCCCGAACTGGGAAGCAGGCTCATCCACGCAATCTGTTTAACTGAGCCGACGGAAGCGCATACGGAACAAGGAATGGAGAACAAGCCATCTCGGGTTCTTCTGAAAGGAGGAACACTACTCCTACATGAGGAAAATGATCGAGTCGTTCCAACAAGATCCGACTTGCTGATTCAAGACGACCGCATCGTCCAAATCAACAGTGACATTGATCCTCCTGTCGGGACCAAGATAATTGACTGTACAAATGCTTTGGTTTCTCCTGGTTTTATCGACACCCACAGACACTTATGGCAATCGCAACAGAAAGGCCTTCACTGTGACCAAATTTTGCTTGATTACTTTCATTCTGGTACGATTGAATCCCAGGCGCCTGTTTCTTGCCTCTGACGAACAAACAGGAAATCTTGCGAGTTCGCACTATGCGCCGAAGGATGTTTTCTGCGGTGTTCTGAGTAGCTGCATGGAGGCGATCGATGCTGGAACAACTACTGTTGTTGATCACGCGCATGTCAATTACTCCTCCCAGCATAGTAAGGCCTCGTTCCCCGTATCTCCCTCGCGCTTGGCGATATACGCCTCGTGGTACTGACCCTGCTCAGACAAAGAAGCAATCCGTGGGCAAATTGCCTCAGGGATCAGATCAGTCTTCTGTTATTGCGTGCATCCGCGCGTCACCACTTGGCAGCCAGAACTCAAGCTCGACCATCAAATAAGTCTGGATGCAGACATGGACGAGTTCAGAAAACTAGCCAAGGAAAAGCCTTTTGGACAGAATGGAAGGGTCAGACTCGGATTCGCAATGGACACGATGTTTGTGCCACCAAAAGTGTTGAAAACTGCTTTTGACGAAGCACGTAAACACGGCGCCCACTTGATCACATCTCATGCGACTCAAGTTAGCATGATGGACAGTGAGTTTTTCTACTTATCCTTGTTCTTCCTTTCTCCTATCCTCCCTATACGATCCGCAATGTGGCTACTCGTACATCTCACTAATTCGCTCTTTCCAAGACATGCCCTCCGCAGTGGCCGTGCTGAATAACAACGCACTTCTGGGCCCTGACGTCCTGTTGTCTCATGGCAATAACATCACGCCCGAGGAGCTGCGTTGGGTCGAAACAGCAGGCGCCCATTTCTCCAGCACTCCCTTGTCAGAACTACAAATGGGCCACGGCCACCCTATCTGCCTGAAGGCAGATTTTCTCCCACTCTCTTCTATCGGGACAGACTCTAACAGTATCTGTACCTCGTCCATTCCTGCGCAAGCAAGCACAGCTCTACAGGCTACACGTGCGCGCCAGATGGCGGAGAGTATGAAGAATGGTACTTGGGATGGCACCATAGGGCCGACGGTGGAGGATGCATTCAATCTCGCGACTCTGCTCGGAGCACGAGCCATCGGCCTTGGAAACGAGATTGGGAGTCTCGAAGTGGGAAAGAAGGCGGACATTGTGATATTCCAAGGTCAAAGTCCGACTATGATCCCCGCCGGTGAACGTCATCCTATCGCGGCGATTATCCTCCACAGCTCCGTTCGGGACGTCCAGACAGTCATCGTTGACGGTATAGTACGGAAGGAGAACGGCTCACTATGCCAGATTAGTGTTCCTGCTGATATTGCATCGAATTCTGGAACTTGTCATTCCGGAGAGGAGGCTCTTGAGTGGAAGGATGTGGCGAAGCTTCTGAGAGACAGCCAGTCGAGATTGGAGGAAGTCAAATCAACGGTTTGCGATGAGGATGCAGCACGGAATGGATTGATCAGATCATTTTTGGACGCAATGGCACAGGCAAGCAATGCGTAATGATATTTTGATGCATTCTAGGAGGCGCAAATTATTATATCTGATCTAATTTGATAATTGGACTGACAATCTGACTTAATCTGGGTTTCTGAAGCGGCGAATCCTAGAGTCTCAATCCTCCACTATTATCTATATCCATGCATGAGAGATAAAAAGTGTAAATATCCGCGGCTTACGACTATGCTACGAGCGATTCTGTTGAGGCTTACACACTTCGCGGAACACCACTGCGATGCCAGTAATGGTCTATCTTTATTGCGCATCCGTGATTGTTCCGCACCTGTAAGATTCATGCATGACTTCAATCATGTCCCATGGAGGTCCTTAGGCTCCAGAGTATCTCCCAAGTGAGTGTTGTCGGCTGGAATCGAGCAAATGCCATGGTCTAGGACATCCGGGCGTACGTTAATCGGCCCAGCGCTCGGATTGAGTCCGCTTTCGGAAACTTACCGTGATTCGTTTTCAAGTGTTATCTGATGCGCCTGGAAGGATGAATAAAATAGCGAAATTTCTGCCAGGGGCTTGTTCGATCCTCGTGTGACTACTGTGACGTTGGCTGGCGACGAGCTAATACATCCTTGTAGATATTCCGGGGTTCTCCGCACGGGATGACAATCCCCGGCCAACACTTGAATAGATACGCCTTTTGTCTCAAGAAGGAAATAAAACGCATAAATAAGATATTTAAAATCTGCTAATAGCTGATCCTTACGGTTTACCATGCCTCCGCCTTCTCGCATACTGTATACTCACACCCTTGCTTAATTTGTTCAATATGACCACCGAAGGAGTTTTTGTCGATGTCGTGGGACTATCCTATCAGTGTGGAAACACCAAAGGAACTACGTCGGAGGATTTCATTTATAAATATGACCCGGGAGCAAAAGTGACTTTCTCTATTGGTGACCTTGTCCTGGGTCACTGTGAGGGACGGGCCACTACGACTATTTCCAATTTAGTCCCGGATGCCTCAATTTATGATCACAGGACGGTGAATCGAGCACGGCTACTGTTCAGTCTGTCTACTGGGCAAGGTTTTGAAGTCCCAATCCGCATTAACACTCACGTAAGACATGAGACTTTATTAGGATTCCATGTCCCATGGAATATATGATCGCTCTACTAACACATTTTGTCCAGGTTGAGGCTGTGATAAACCAGCACAAGGACGACATCAACCTGGACTCTGACAACCTCAGTGACCTAGATCGCCCTCTCAACCGAATTTGCGATATACTAAGCCTTCGTCCTAAGTCCGTTTACCATACCCGAAACCATCTTCGTCGCGAGGCGGCAGGATTCAAGGTCCTGAGAGACCTGCAAATAGAATCTCCAGATGGGGGGTATGTTGCGGCCGATGTATACCTTCCCTTGCAGCTCAAGGGACGATTCCCGGTTCTTGTCAGTTGCACTCTATATGGACGGCGTGTCCCCTGGGGAGGTCCAGACTTGAACGACGACGAGGACGTGTTGGCTTTTGAGCGTGCAGAGGATGAATGGCATTCTACAGAGGCGGGCACAGAGCTCCACTTACCTGATAGGGGACCGTGGTCGGAATACTTCAGGACACAACGAGGGTTTGAAAACCTCGCGACCTTCAACACCTTCTCCTACGTTCCCAAGGGCTATGCTATGGTGAGGATGGAACCCAAGGGTGTATCAGAGACGCCCGGTAAAAGATGGGAACCTGGTCAACTTGCTGGTGACTTCTATACTGTCTGCGAGTGGTGCGCTGATCAACCATGGAGCAACGGAAACGTCGCCCTCGTTGGCAGCTCTTATGGAGCCAACACACAGTGGGCCGTGGCAGGCCTGAAGCCAAAGGGTTTGAAGTGCTTCGTCCCATATGGAAGTAAGTACCTTTCTCCGCCGGGTATCTGGCGCCGATGGAGAACAACAGCTAAACAGACGACTGGCAGCTGATCTTGATTCCTATCGCGACGCGGCATACATTGGAGGTGTCCCCGCGACACGTTACCTTGAGAACTGGTTTGCTCGTGTTAGAGGGGTGTCTCCAAAATGGCAGGATCACTTGGACGTGGAAAGCCTGATGAAAAGTAATCCTACATATAATCATCTTTGGGCAATGATGGAATCCAAACCAGAAACTACGGTCGACATTCCTTGCTTCCTTGGCGCCTCCCAAATATTCATGATCCATGGACGCGGCGCCTACGAAGCATGGATGGCGCGTCGCCCTGATAATACCCATCTCCAGCTGGTTGATTCGGACTACTACTCGTGGCCGAATCGGGAAGCGGCTGGGAAGATTCTGGAATTTCTGAACCACCATCTCAAGACGGAAGGCTGCTTTGCGCCGGAGCGAGTTGGAATCCAGATGCGCCTGGGAAATCAGAAGTGGTACTGGCGCAAGGAGGCGAATTGGCCGGTCCCAGGTACGGAGTATATCAAGTGGCATCTCCATCCTGACGGAACTCTGGCAACCACTCCGCCAGCTTCGGAGACCCCGGAAAAGCGACTTTCTTATCCCGCCAGAACAGCCTCTGCAGGGGATGCCGGATTCAGCTTTCAATCGTCACCCATGGAAGAAGACGTCGAGATGGCAGGTCATTTTGCTGCCACGCTGTGCATTTCGTCGACGGCTCCAGATGCAGACGTTGTCGTCCTTGTCTGGGCTATTGATGAACATGACAATGCTGTTGCTTATGGGGCAAGCCATACTGAGCCGGAGCCACTAGCAAAGGGCTTTCTGCGCGTCAGCCATCGGAAGACCGACCCAGAACGGTCTCTTCCCTGGAGACCCTGGCACACACACCTGGAGAGCGACCTGATGCCGCTCCAGGGGCCGGAAGAAGTCGTGGAAATCACGGTGGAAATATTGCCTGCTGCGGCTCGTCTTCGGAAGGGCTGGAGTCTTCGCGTGGATGTATGCCCATCCGAGGATCAGCCAAACATTCCTGGTTACGAAGCCCCGTCAATGAGGCTCTGGTACGGCGAGACTCAGAGTCTAGGGGTTCTTGACACCCTTCATGTCGGTGGCGGTCGAGCCAATTTTTTGATGTGCCCAGTTGTACCACGCAGCGAGGACTATCCTCGGTGTATAACTTAGATCCGGCTATCGTTTGGAGCGGGTGAGGAATCGCTATGTTGATAATGGTTTGTACTAAGAAAAACTGTTCAATACTGCTGAAATCCTCGACTGTGCTTTGATGACACAATGGTGTTTCCTGTAGAGCTTTGTAGGACGTACTCTTGGTGGAGCAGGAGGCAGACGTAGAAATAGTTGGTCTGGCGTATCGTCCTACAAAAACGACCAATAGTCCACCGATATGTGGGCACACTAATGGAGCCCTATATAATCCATCTCTATGGCGACATACTGCGTACAAACAATCGTGTTGTAGCTTGCTTCGACAATAGTTCGTACGACAATAGAAGAATGGTTGCATTCGGCAACTATCGTCACAAGTACGCTAGTCCAAATTAGGAGATATTCCGGTCCAATAGGACATGGCATTTGCGACCGCCACCCCATCTTATGTAATCAGTTCTGAGTTGGGAGTTAACTTAGTACTAGTACATTTATTCACCCACCTTTGTCTTCCTGGGTTCTTTCTTTTTCATGTGTGGTGTCAGACAGGCGCACTCAATGTTTCCGCATGGCTGATGGCGTTACCCCGATGCACGGGCAACAGCCGGTGAGGTGGGTGCCAGAACAAGGCTCGAGGGCGAGGGTATGCGATCGATGTACCGAGTAAGTGGACAAGGAGAAGACCACCCGTCGTGGAGAAAAGACTAACATGAACAAGGAAGAAAATCAAATGTATCTACTAAGCTACCGATAACATCCTGAACTGTCTCTAACTCTGAACACTAGGTGACATGAATCGGCCGAGATGCTCTGCTTGTGACCGATCCAAGCAGACCTGTACCTTTAGTCGCACTCGTAAGAGACCCGGCCCGCCCAAAGGAGCCCAGAAACAATCAAATGGTCTGTCGGAACCTGGCTGCTTCAATGGTCAGTTGCTCCTGGATTGAATTCTGTGAATATATGGCTAATAAGGTACTTAGAGAGCTCATCTGCTCCTTTTCGTCACACTCCCATGGCGCCTATCTCCCCGCCATTGCTCGATAGCCACAATTCTTCGAGCTTTCCAGATTTACCCACGCACGCAGCACGAACAGATTTCTTGGGCACTCCGGAATCTTTGGACCTCCATTGCTCGGTGTTGCATTCCAAGACCCGGAACGATCTGTAAGTTGCAGCTGGCGCACCGATGAGGTTTCTCTAACAATAAGGTCAGTGCTGAATTCTTTACTGGCACTGTGAACGTCTGCTTTCCTCTATTTCAACCTCATACAATTTCAAAGGCACTGGAGATTGAGCATTTTCACCACCTACCGTTGGTCATCTACGGCATATCGGCGGGACTGATCGGAAACCCTAATATGCGGGCGGAAGCCGAAGTCGACAACGAGTTGCGGCAGTGGGTTCACACACAGCAAATAACAGCCGAGAGCATCATCGATCCAAAGGCTCTGTACGAATGGCAAACTGCTTGTCTGCTGGCATGGTATGGATTCCATCAGCGGCTTGGCACCGAAGACGAAACGCACCTCGTCATCACCAGTTTGACCCGCAAAGCATACCACTTTGGCCTACACCAGATCGATAGCCCTGAAAACCGAGACTGCTATGGCTGGGACCTCCTGGATGAGCCCAGCCTGGAAGACTGGCGTCGTGTGTGGTGGTGCGTCTACGTTCTCGATTCGTATTCTAGCTTTTCGACAGCAACCCCGACGCAAGTGGAGACCGAGAGTATCCAGACAGCACTCCCCCTTGACCCGGCAGCGATAAAGGGGACGCACTCTCAAACTGAGAGAATTTTTCTCCCGGCTAGTCTGGAGGGTCTGCCCGCCGTTACGCAAAGTATTGGGAACGGTCTCGCAGACAAGGGCTTTGCTCTGCATATGGCTGTGAACACCCTCTTGAAAGCAGCGGTAGCAGTTCATCGGCTCAGCAAGCAGAGCTCGGGCGCCTATATCTCCGGACGAATATCTGCATTGAGGGATCACCTCTCAGCCCTACAATTAACTCTGCCACACTACTACATGCAACCGACCCCAGACATGATCGGTGGCGAACTACCGTCTGCATTCAACACACGCCTTCAGACTCAGCTCAAAGTCCACAGCATTCGAATCATGCTCGGACTTTGCGACATGCGAATGGATAGGAGCCGCTTGTTCTCCAGGTGGCAGGAAAACTTGGAAATTTGCTATCGCATGTTCGAGGTGATCCAGCACTGGGACTCGCAGTCCAGTCTTACCGTCGACCCGGCCATCTGTTTCATCGTCGCGTCATTGCTCGTAATGTTGCATCTTCATACCCATTCAAGCGCAAACTCCAATGCGGCGTTACTTGCGCAACTCACACGGCGGAAACAGGTGGTCCGTCTGTTCCTGCAGAACTACGCCTCGTCCTGGAGATTACCCCGGTTCCTTCTTGGTAAGTTTTACCACGCTCACGGATTTTTCTGCCCGTTCTTACATGATGCTGTCTAGACTGCTGCGACGCGTTTATGCACAAAGTGTCGGGCCCCCTGAGTGCAGATGATATCGTTCGCATTTCGGACCACTTCCAGGGCCCGTTGCATCGGAAATGGCTCAGCTTCCTGTCCCCCAGCCCGGAAACCCCGGACTTTCTGGACTTTGACAACCTGATACATTTCGATTTGGATGCATCAATTGAGGATTATTTTTCGTTTCACGAAAGCGAACCGATACCAACCTTTGACTCTAGTCCAACGACAACCGGAATGTGTGAACGAAAGTGAGGGTCTTGTGCTCGTCGGAAACCAGAAGATTTCCGAAGCAAACATTCAATCATGTAATGTGCCAGAGTTGGAAGGTTCCAGTTACAACAAATACATGGGACATTGTTGTCCTCTCAAACCTCCCACCTCCAACTCTTCCACCGACTCCCGCGGACGTATTGGTGACACTTGATCCTCTGAGGGCTCACAGGTCCTCAAGTAGCGCAGGAGCCTCACAGTTGTCATCACGGACGATGCGAAGCTCTAGTTTTTAAAGAATAGCGCGCTTATGAAAAACATGCCAGATCAATGATACGAGTCAAGGGGCGAGGTAGTATGGTGAATTCTTGAGAATATGGGGCAGTCTGAGGTGCGTTGAGATTAGTGAAGTTCTAAATCTGGCCGGTTAGCAGCCTATGAGTTCATATACTACTTTAATTGAGCAGTGACATGATTCACTCTCAAGCCTACACCAATCGCAAGGTTCGTTCCCTTGGGATGTTGGACCTAGTGAAAATATATACGTTCAATATATATTCTAAACTATCCACAGGTGTTCAATCCCAGTTCATTGAATACGAAGCTAGGAAGTTCAGATTCCAGATGTTCGTCTTCTTACCTGCAATGTCGCCCAGAACCCTCCAAGATTTCAGTGAATACCAACGTGTCCCTCAACTTTGCATCGAGTCTGCGCCTCCTCCAAAGTAGTCACTGGATGACAATTCACATGATGTATGGCGTTGGATACAGTCTCACAGTTTAAAAAGACTGCCTACCTATCCTCCCTATCCACTAATCTCCATCTATCCCCCTTCGTTGAATCTATACCACTACCCACCAGGTTACCAAAGAATTACGCCGTATGTACCACTAGAGGCATCGGTAGTTTCCTGTAGCATATCAATCAACCATGACCACCATCGCCATCACCATCACGGTGCGTCCTTTGCTCCCGGGGGTTATGTCGACGACCTCCACGTCATCAAGCGCCCCAGCCATCATGTTGATGACAGACAGCAATGACGATAAAGTTGCATAGACCAACGCAATGCATCATCAGTTGGCAACCAAAGTGCAGTATAAGTTTTCTTACACCCACTCGAAGACTAGCGTAGGCAGCACACCCTACAGTCCTTTTCACCAAGCGAAGTGACCGCCTACATCGATTGCTGTTCAGCACCATAACCACAACAGCAGTGGCTTCTACGTTTTTTTCTTGCTTCCGAGCTTGAATGCGAGGAGAGGTCCCAACTCATCCAACAACTGAGCGACCTCACCAAGGTCGACTACGTGGATAGCGCTACATACGCACTGCTATGGTTAGCAGATCTTGATGCACTCCTCATACTTGTTAGGGCCGTAGATTCGGGATTCAGCCTAGCTGTTAAAAGCCCTCTAAGAAGCGATACTCTGGCTATGCGTGGCCTGAAGATGTGGCTGTCCTGTTCCCAAGCAGAGTCAGCAGCAACCGTTCCAGACGACCCCACCGAGTCCACCGATTCTCCAGTCACAGAGTCCTCAGCTGCCGACGAAAGATCTGCCGCGAGTAGACAGGACAGTGACCAGTGCTGTCACGAAGATAGGCGAACCTGTCCAGGTCTACCACATTTTCCTTTCCTCGCTAGGCCAGACGCCCGAGGAAGTCCAGAGCGACTTTTGCACGGTAGTGTAAATCTTCTGGTCACCCCAGACCATTGCGGCGTGGCAACGCGATCTCACGAAAGTATGTCAGAACCTGTTGACACTCAACACCCTCATGCACGAGCTTTGGGGTAAGGCACGTTTTGCCTTCGAGCCGGCCGAAATTTCGGAGGACCGGAAAACCCTTACGATGAGGTTCTGGTGGCTACCTCTCGGGACATTTTCTAGACGGGGGGTGGGTGTGTGATCGTCCTTCACTGCCCTCCGATCTTAGATCAGGTCCTTGTAATTCGAAATTATGGGATTATGACACGGATGCACCTATCTACTCTAGTCACCTTATTACGCTGACGACCGAAGACCCGGAGACAATGCCTCTCCCATCTTTTGAACTGCTGCACATGCAGTGGACTCTGAATCGGGTGGCCGCTATAGCGGGCGCGGCTAATGTCACGGATGAGGAGTTGAAGGCGATAGAGGAGGATTATTACAAGGATTGGTGAGCAGAGTAGCTTGTATGCTACCCAGAGCTGTATAGGAGGTTCCTATGGTGTCTGATCAGGCGGACAGTCTCCGGGAATATGGACGGAGTACGAAAGGAAGCTGGTGCTACTCAGGGAAGGGTACACTGGTCAGAACAATGCGTATTGGGCATGCTGGCGTTATCGAACCCGAGTCCGAGTATCACCACTGGGGTCCTAACCGAGTTCCGGACTACAAGCCCCATTATGGAATCCCTCCTCTTTCAAGCTGCATATTGCTGTGGTAGATGAGACCGGCGTGCAAGGCAGATGGCAACAACATGTCAGTCAAGTGATGTCGTCCATCTTTCCTGATCAATGACTTGATTTAGCATTGGGCGAGAGCAAGCGACAGGATGTCGCTTGCATGGCAGAGGTGGAGCACGTACAATCCTGAACTCGGAGGATCTCGCAGGCATAGAGGCACGAGTTGATAACTTCCGTCTAGAGGCTTTAGTGGTGGAGCTGGAGGTCAAGGAGCCGACAGGAGTGGTTAATCTCACGGGTGCATCGAGAGTTTGCCTATTGTGGTAGGAGTTAAAAAAGCTTTGAAGCCCGAAAACATGGATAGGTCAGCCTAACAGTTCGATAATGTACTCGCATCTTCAATCACAGTCACAGCATCACAGCGAGACTAGTGGTAGCTAGCAGGAAAGGTAATCGTTTCGTAGACGATCATTGGTAGAGGGTATTACATAGAAGCACCTTACGGTAAAGCTACTCGCCACCTATGCATTCACTCCCTCTTCTATGATGTACGTTCTTTGTGTGGACACACAATCAGATTACAGTTAGCCAACCTTAAAGTATTTGGAATACTCACTCACGATGGAGTGCAGTATAAGGATTCTCACTGGCGAAACATGGAGGTGGCGTTCACAGATCATGTTGTGTCACGGACAGGATCCTGCATCGATCTCCGTGAGCCTCTTCCCCATGAACAGGGGCTAGGTCCGTCGAGCCACAGTATTTGTCGGTGACTTGTTGAAGTACACCGCTTGATTTGATTTGGAATACTCTCTACCAATGGCATGGAGGCTATTAAAGATGGCTTTCTAGATACTCCGTACATATTTGACTAGGATGAGACTCGCTTTTCTCTATACACCAGCAGCGTCGTCCACCCGCGTGCCAGTACGGCCGGCATGTCCGGAAGCAGAACTACCGGACCGTCGATGTAAACCACCGGGATGCATCATCTTTTCTCTCGGTAGAGACAAGAGAGCCAATCCCCGTTATGCCCTTCGCAGTACCGTTGGGTCTCTTCTCCCACGTTTGCTGCATGGAATGTGCTCGTTTCCCGCCCCAGTACCCTAAGCTCCGAACAATCATGATCCAGGAAATTGGCTCATCTATGCGGAAATAACTATGTTTAGGTTGGAGAGTCTAGACCTCTGTCGACTGGCGGAAATAGACTGATGGGACCTTTGGCAGAGGGAAGATCAGAGACGGGGAAGGGAGGAATGCTGGCTGTGTTGGGCGATCTGTGGTTCATCATCCTCGAGAACAAAGAAACGACGAGGTTGAGTTCGACCCATCAACTGCCCCCAAACCTTGCACCGGACTATCATCTGCTTGGCGACTCCTGGTGGCGCTCGCACGTCCGTTTTCTTTGTTACACAAAATCTAACGGATCGAGACGGTCTGTGTGTAGGTTCCGGAGACCTGTTGAAGGCATCCCCACCCTCCGATCTCGACCATCGCGGATCCATGGATCCCACCGGACTTCAGCGAAAGGGTCATTTCGGCTCAATTCTCCGCCGTCACCCAGCATCGTCGTTGGAGAATATAATCAGGAGATCTCGATGTCAGGCACGTTATTGTCGATCCCAGCTCTTGCACGCGGAGGGATAGCATCACCCACCAGTGTCGTTCTCACGGAATGCAATGATTCCCCGTCAGGAGTCTATACTGTCCACCACCTACAGTCACGATGGAGTCAATGCCCAAGGAAGTCAATAACGCCGGCAAGGACTACGACGTTACCATCGTGGCCATTGTACTCTGCGCCGTCAGCACGGTCTTGGTGTTCTTGCGATTCGTCGAGAAGATCCGCCTGCGCGCAGTCTTCGCTGAAGACTATGTCTTGATTCCAGGGTTTGTGAGTTTTGTCAACGCTATCATGCAGTGTCATCCATATCCTCTGCGTGCTGACCAGCATCTAGCTGATATACATCGCCTCGGCAGCAATCCTGATCCGCGCAAATATAGATGGAGCTCTAGGTACGCCAATACCGCAAGTGACCTACCACCAAGCCGAGATAGTCGGCCAGGTACGAGCAAACCATCCTCCCTCCCCCGAAGGACGACAGTGGCTGATTTTGTAGACCGGGCTCCTGATCTACTGGCTATACGCGCCAATGAGCGGGTTCATCCGCGTCTCCATCCTCCTATTCTATAGGCGCCTGTTTTCGCCCACCATGCCAATACTGGGAATAGTGATTTGGATAGTCCTGGTGTTTCAGGTCCTATTCAGCATCGCCGGCCTAATACTGCCTGCCGTCGGTTCTAGACCGCTGTATCACATGTGGCATCTCCGGGACACGGCCACGAACGATAACCCGCAGCAAACATCGCAATTTTCCTATAATATTGGAGTGGCAACATTCTCCATCAACCTGGCATTGGATGTCATTTTGCTCATCTTGCCGCTGTTCCCGATCGCCACCCTGCGGCTTCCGATCAGAAAGAAGCTCGGAATGGCTGTTCTCTTTATTCTTGGTGCAGGGTATGCGGCGTTCCCCGTTCGGGATATACTGATGCTGAGTTCCGCACCTCTAGGGCATGCTTTGCAGCTGCATGGAAGCTCGGAGCATACATCATCGAACTGCGTGACCAAACGGATCCCTCCAGATGTATGGTCTTTCCCTCTTTCGAACACCGATTATATTTGCGCTGACACAGTGGGTGTGTCTACTACAGGGACAGGAAAAGGCGGGGTTTACATACCTGCCGGGTCCACTGTATCAGGCGAGACGTTATCTTACTTCTATGCTGCTCAGCTGGAACCGGCACTCGCCATTATCGGAACCTCTCTCCCCGCGATTCGCCAGTTGATATGTTCGTGTCGCAAGCCTTCGCCACAATCCTCCCAGCAAATGGAGGAACGCTCCAGCCGGCGGTACCATCGCCGGTGGTTGCATCTCGACCGTATTCCTACGTCTGAACGGGCATTGACAACAGATATGGAGCGGCAAGGGGAGATATACCTGCCTGTGGTGGAGGATGACCGTGAACATCGATTTGAACATCGACTTTGAATTTCACAGCGTGGAGATAACTGTACATAACATAGGATGTTGGCCTTTTGGTCGTGTCCGATCTTAATATATCTTGCATCCATGTGTGTCTGCTTGCGAGGGGAAAGCTACATATTTCCTGTGAACATGTTGTATAATACTTATAATCAACGCTCGAAGAATATGGACCAAGAATGGCTGGTTTTCCTTCCCGCGCGGAAGCAATTCCCTCTGCAGGTGATGCACGTACACGCGTGACGCCGATATACAGTAAACGGGTGCGCGAATCACGCTGCCATGCAATTAGTCACCTAGTTTCCTCCAGCTATTTTCCCATCTATCATCCAGTGTAGTTTCATTCCTGATTTATAAGCGTTGGGGCATCTTCCTGGATTCTGGCAGTGACGGTAAGAGTTTCTACACTATAGATCGGTAAGTCGGTGTTGGCGATTTCCGGGCTGTTGTGGAGTTCAAGTACATGTCGGCGCTTAACGTATCCGACCCGTGCAGGGACCGGAGACCGAAGTAGGATTGATTGATAATCAAGACTACCATCACGTCTTGGTAGGCAAGGATCTGTGGAGTGTTGCACTATGTGTCTACGGTGTACGCGAATGATGGCATCGGACACGGGTGGTGTGGTATGGCCCGAATGGGCACCGATTATAGGACCAGTAAGTATTTAAAGAGAGCCATATTCCTCTCTACAGCCAACATTCTGCACCTACAAAGCTCGTTATCACCATGTCCTCGCCCAAACAGACCAGATGCTGGGTATTGGCCAGCAGACCCACTGGCAACGTTGTCCTCGATGGCGAGAACCCAACGTTCACTCTCCAAACAAGAAGCCTCCCTGCGTTGGTTGACAACCAGGTCCTTGTGAAAACCATCTACCTCTCCAACGATCCCGCTCAGAGATGGTGGATCAATGACGAACTACCCCGGAATCTCCAGCATCTCAAGCCAGTCAAAGTGGGTGACGTGATGGGTGCACGCGGGATCGCAGAGGTCGTCGAATCGACCTCTTCCAAGTTCAAAAAGGGCGACCAGGTCATTCACCTCGCCCAACTGGGCTGGGTAGAATACGCAGTTCTTGGAGACGACGAGGTTGCGCCGATCGATCCGTTACCTCGGGGTCTCAGTGATGCCCATTACCTGGGCGCTTTTGGGGCAAACGGCCTGACAGCATACTACGGACTCATCGTGCAGTGCGAGCCGAAGCAATCCGACACGATTGTTGTCTCGGGAGCCGCAGGGGCTACGGGCAGCATCGTCGTGCAAATCGCCAAGCATCTCGTGGGCGCTCAAAATGTCATTGGAATTGCGGGAAGCGACGACAAGTGCCGCTGGGTTGAGCAGCTGGGGGCTGATATCTGTGAGTGCATCCCCTGGATTGATTTCGGACGTCAAGGCTTACATTGGGACTAGGCCTCAACTACAAATCCCCGTCTTTTGCAAAGGACCTGGAGAAGGCCACCGGGGCGCGTGCCAACATCTACTTTGACAATGTAGGAGGCGAGATTCTCAACCAGATGCTTCCATTGATGGCCGCCCATGGCCGCATTGCGGTGTGCGGTGCGATTTCCAGCTACAATGGCCAGGATGCTCTTTCTCTTCCCAATTGGTTCTACGTCATCTTCTCGAGAATCCGTATCGAGGGATTCACGGTTGCAGATTACCGGAGTAAGGCTGGAGAAGTGAGGAAGATCCTCGCGCAAGCCGTGGAAGATGGAAAATTGCAGATCGACGAGGGGAGTCACACGGTGGTCAAGGCAGCGTTTGAGGCTATTCCACGGGTGTGGGTGAGGCTTTTCGAGGGAGCGAACAAGGGAAAGCTTATCACTGCATTGTAGAATGCTTTGCTTTGAATATCCGGGGAGGTAGTTCGTTCCTATCAAATATACAGTGGCATGGAGTCAACGCCTAACGTTCAAAGAGTGTTTCCATACAAGCCAGGAATGGGCACCAATATGGTTCACTGTATATCACAGCCCGCGAGAGCAATGGCCACGCCGTCGATGAGCCCAATAATGGATCCATTTAGACACAAGGGATACTCGCGGAGAGACGCCACTTTGGCGGACTACGAGTGAAAACTATCAGTCGATTGTCCAAAGATTGTTGGGTTCAAAAGCTGTAAATGTCAATGCAGCATAGGACACGGAACATACGGACGTGATCTGTGCAGCCCGCTTTGGGTGCACTAATACTGCGAAGTCCTTCTTGGATTACCGTTCCTGTGTATGTCATGGCAAAGATGCGGTTCTTCCATGACAAAAGTTGTTGAATAAAGTGGGAGGGAAATAGAGTCATTCGTTATCATTTTCGATTCGAGTTCCAAGTGAACAGTTCTGGTTGTGTGTATGTTTGTCAGTGTCATAGTATCCCGTTCACGAGAATTGTTCCCGGTGAAGAAAGGTATATCTGGTAAATCAACGGTGAAATCCGAGCAATGTACCTAGGCAATTAGATAGAAGTTTGGGTGGCTCAGTGGGAAGGTCGAGGCGCGTCACGTGGGGGTGTGTTGTGTTGTGTTGTGTTGTGTTGTGTGAGTGGGCAGTACATCTACCTCTTTCTTCTTCTTCTTCTTCTTCTTCTTCTTCTTCTTCTTCTTCTTCTTCTTCTTCTTCTTCTTTTTCTTCTTTTTCTTCTTTTTCTTTCTCTTCTTTCTCTTCTTTCTTCACCCGTCCTTCGAATCTCATTTCGACGACTCGCCTTACAACTGCATCTATCTTTTGACATACAAAAGACCAACACTTGTAAGCACCTCACCTCCCTCCCTCCCCAACATCACATCCGCGTTCGACTGCGATGGCTGCTGTCGTCGACAGAAACGCGCGTCCCGCCCCCCAGGTTGCCGGTGGTGGTGGAAAGCCCCCCGGTGACCGTGGCGGTGGAGGCCGGAGGAACCCCCCTCCAGACAAACCAGCCCCTCCTAAGAAGAGGAAGAGGGCCGCGAAGCACTGTGGTCGCTGCGGGCAAACCGACCACACGGAGGAAGAGCACCACATGCGGACGCTGGCGGACGCAGTAGATGTTCTGGTAAGTTATCTCCATACAACCCGACGAATGGAACTGACATCACGGTAGACTCATCAGGCTCGGAAACGCCAGCGCCAGGAACAGAGCGCCCCCTCAAGTCCGTCTCACAACCGGGTTGTTCCCGCAGCCCAGGAGCGTGGCGACGGACAGCGGCGTCGTCGACGGGGAAAACGTGCGGCGCCCCATGTCCGCCGGCAACGTGCACGGGAGGCCCTCCAGCAACAGCTGGGAGGCCTGCAGGCGCAGCACCTGCTGCCGCCGCGCCCCGTCCAACAACAACAGCAGGGGGACGTCCAGCAACAGCTGTAAGGCCAGCAGGCGCAGCAACAGCTGCCGCCGCGCCCCGCCCAACAAATACAGCGGGAGCTTGAGCAGCATGTCGCTCTCTCCTCGCAGGTTCTGGCGGGAGGAGTGGATTCATCCCTCCAACCAGCTCAGGAGCCGCGCCCGCTGCCTCATGTTCAGGCGCAGGGGGATCAGGACCTTCAGGGCCCGGCCCTGCAGGCTGATGATTCGCCGCACCTGCTTCCTCAGTCGGACGATGTCATCATGACTGATGTCTGGCTAATCGAGGGCCTGAACAGCGAGGAGGTTCCCGCATAGTCGGACACTTCGGATAGTGAGCTTTGACATGAACGTGGACGTGCGAACGTACCTTCTGCCTTAGCCGCCGTCGTGTTCACCGGTAGCGGGAACGGCCGTGTCTTCGGACCGGTCCTCCAACGACGAACTCGCACCTCATCGCGGTGTTGGAGTCTAGTAGCCGTAATGGTGAAGCTAAGATGAGTTCACTGGATGCTGTGGAGTATTAGATAGAATAGGTGGGATATAATAGATATTGGAATGTTTTTTTCTTTTAGTTGTCTCTTATACAATATCCATTCCTGTTTGCGTGATAATATGATGCTAGCCCAAGTATAACATGAAGCTGTGGACAGAATAACCTCGGCTTGTTTACGACCCACAGCACAAACAAGACAAACACGATCGCGATTCTCCTGAATTCCTGGAAAGCTTCAACCTTTCCCAAACAATCCATCTTCTGCCATTGAACGGTTTCAGGGCTTTCCTTGGTATGCACCTACCCGGGTCTACCAGAGCATACTAATCAAAGCGTCGCTAGACCACCTTCCCACCTCTCCCATACATACAACCAGTATGTAAAGGTCCAAAACATCAATTCCCCACATCGGAACACCCAACCACCAAATAAGGTAGCCAGAAGAGGTAATGCAAAAAAGTTGAACTCCACACCATGTTAAACAGCCGTCGCCTCCTAAACGGCGACATCACCTATTCCGCCGCCAAGGGCTGCGAGTCAAACATCCTGCATGAGCTGGGCTACTGGGACCAGAAGACCCGCTATTTTAACCATCTGTACAAGAACCGCGAGCTCGTCCAGGAGATCGTCGTCCACCATCTGAACCTTCCATCCGCCGACGCGTGCACCATCGCCGACCCTCAGGAGTGGCGCCATGGGAGTTTCAATCTGTGCATTCCCATCGACGTGCGCGGCCACGCCGCCGCCCAGCGCGTCATGATCCGCTTCCCGCTGCCGTACCGCGTAGGCGAGAAGACCAACCCCGGCAATGCCGACGAAAAGATCCGCTGCGAGGCAGGCACCTATGCCTGGCTCCAGGAGAACTGCCCCGACATCCCGATCCCGGCCTTGTACGGGTTTGGCCTGTCATCCGGCAAGAAAGTACGTCTCCCGTCGCGCCGCCAACCACACCCGTAGAGACGTACCCCGCTCATAGCCCATGTAGTTCACCGTATGCGACAACCTCCCGTTCTTCACGCGGATGCTCTTCTACATCCGCCGCCGAGTCCGCCGGTGGCTCGGCCGCCCGCTCCCATCGCGCTACGTGCCACACCCCAGCCGCAAACCCAGCCCCGACGGCGTCAGCTACCTCCTCATGGAGTACATCCACGGAAACATGCTCTCCGAGTCATGGGAAGCCGGCCGCACAGACGCCCACCGGCGCAGCAACCTGTTCCACGGGCTGTCGCGCATCATGCTCGCCGCGGCGCGCATCCCACTCCCACGCATCGGGTCCTTCACCATCGACGAACACGGCTTCCTGCAGCTCAACAACCGCCCACTCACGTTGGAAATTCACGACCTCGAGAACCAGAAGATCCCCGTCGACATCCCGCGCGATCTCACCTACGCCACTGCGGACACTTACATCCACGACGTCCTCGCGTTCCACGAGAACCGCCTGCGCGCACAGCCCAACGCCGTCCACGACGTCGAGGACTGTCTGTACCAGATGTCTGCGCTGACGGCCATGCGCACGGTCTACCCGGCCATGTTTCGGCGGGAGCTCCGCGACGGCCCGTTCTACCTCAGCTTCACGGATCTGCACCAGAGTAACATCTTCGTCGATGAGGAGTGGAATGTGAAGTGTCTGGTTGATCTGGAGTGGACGTGTTCGCGGCCGGTGGAGCTGATTCATCCGCCGTATTGGCTAGCGAACCAGCCCATTGATGGGATCGACGTGGATGAGTATCAAAATGTCCATGAGGAGTTTGTGAACGCTCTTGCGGAGGAGGAAAACAAGCGTGTCTGTGGCATCGTCAAGGGTGATAGACTACCCCTGCATACAACCCTGCGACAAGGGTGGGAGCGAGGCACGTTCTGGTATGCGCTGGCGCTGGATAGTCCCCTGGGCCTGTTTAAACTCTTCTACGATTACATTCAGCCGCGCTTTGCGGAGGAGCATCTGGACGACCCGGCTTTCTTTCGCATTATCATGGCGTACTGGGAGGTCGATGCTATGAAGTTTGTGCAGGGCAAGGTGAAGGATCGCGAGAAGTATGAGAAACGACTGAGGAAGGCGTTCCAGTTATAGTCCAAGGTGCTGATGAGTGTATGATTATTATGGGATAGACGTATGTTATGTGGTGGAGGACCGCGTGCTGCTTTCATCTAGATAATTGCCTACGTATCGCGTGGTCTTCATGAATCATTTCAATAACGGTCATTGGGCGGGTATCTGCAAAACCACGTCCGTAAAACAGGCTCATATGGCATACAGCATTACATTTAGAGCCATATCCCTCAACATTCTGTAGATGGTGATGGGACCAGGCAGCAAACTGGTAGATTCAGGTTCGAGCTTGGGCGGTTCTGCCACCTGGTTCCAGGATCCCAGGCCGTCCCACGTACGGCGGATTTGAACACGATCATAGTTAGTATTGAGGATCCAGGAGATATCGGTCTAGAAGACGTTAGTTTTTCTTATGCTATCGACCAATCAGTAGGGGTCAGCCACCAGTGTATTACGGCCTTCGGCCTCATAGCGATATCCTACGCAGCCATCCATCGGGGGATATTCCGACCCGTATGGGCCGAAATCGGCTGTATGGCCAAGTGTTGTCTCGATGCGAGCAGCGACCACTTTCCCTTGCTTCGGTATCTGGTCTGTTTCTGGTGGAAGAGGCGAGACTCCCGTCATCCATATCGTCATGGCCTGGATGCACTCGTGGCGGAAGAGGTCAACCGAATTGGCCTCCTGCATCAACTGGCCAACAACACTTGGTGCACGACAGTCGTGATAGTCGACCTTCAGGCCACAGATATCCGATGGTAGTCGACTGCGTTCTTTCATGCCGACGAACGCCGTAATCCGGCGCACCCCTCGAAGGGAAGCGTAGGTATGGTAGTCGCAGACGCTTTTTCTCCACATGCTGTCCGGCCTGATGCGTGCGTTGCAGAAGTCCAGGCTTAGCGTGTGAACTAGACGCGTCGTGGCTGGTTGGCTCTGGATGCCTAGTTGGACCAAGTGGTCGTCTTGGCTCTGCACCATTGTGAGTAAACATCAACACCGGAGAAAGTAGATACCCACTGTGGCCGCAAATCCCGTCATCACATAACCGTCAGGCGGTTTGTGGGAGCATGTTTTGGATGAGTCCTGACAGAGAGATCGGAGCGTGACGAAATCCATGCGGCGACCGAAGTTCGTCAACACCTGGGTTGGAGTCAGGAAAGTGCATGAATTATGTAGACGGAGCGGGAGACACTGACCGTGAAGCCTGTGAGACCAGGCTGGGTGCCATCATCGACAAAAATCACCTCTGATATCCGTTCTCCCCCCGGGCCATCGAGGTAGAAAGAGATCTCACTTTGTCCCCGCATACCGAAGCTTCTCGTGCTTCCATCCGTATAGAAGAACTCCATTCCGGCGATGGGACAAGGCGAAGTACTCACAAAGACGACCATCCTGGTCAGCAATCCCAACAACGACCCTTGCAGGCCGCCGAAGTCAATATCCAGCAGTGCAAAAGTGCTCCGTGGCAGGTGATTCGGCGTGAGTTCGCTGAAGATGCGCTTATGTCGAGGGACGTCAGGCACCCAAAGAGTAGAGGCAACGGTGAGCACCGGAGGACAGTGCGGGAAATGTCGCGTCTTCCCTTCGTATGTGATTCCTATGCTGACAATCTTATAGTGCTTTTCTGTTGTCAGAACGGCGCTCTTCCCAACCCCTCGGGGTACACATACATCGAGCCCTACCACTAAATGAGCCATCTGGTTCTCTTTGCGGAAAATCAAAATCCCACGCGCTGCTCCCTTGCCCTGCGATTCCCCAATCCATGGAGAGGAGGTCCCGTCCGTGAAGTTCCATTTAATGCCGATCAACCCCCGCGTGCAGAAAGTGACTTGCAGTGCCTCGACGGACGACTCGGGCGGAATCTGACAAGAGTTCTGTGGAGACTGACAATATCCAACGCCACCGCAGACCTTTCCCGTCCATGAGATGCCTGTTACGTATGTTCTGGGGCCAAAGGGGGCGAACGAGATAGCAAAACTTGCGTCCCCTTGGAAGGGAACCCGCGCCTTCCTGGTGTGGACCTCACGGCAATCGTCCGACGCGAGAGAATCCTCTCCAGTAGTAGACCGGCGGCCAGTCAACGGTGTTTGCTCATACTGCGGTCTGTCCCCTTGATCACTGTCGGTCGCCACTACAGGGGTGAAATGCATGTTCAGCGGCTCGGACAACGCAGTCCCACTGGGACGACTGCGCGACGACGCTGCATCGAATTCGACGAGGGCCGCGACGTGTTTCAGCAAGCCAACGATTCTCCTTCTGTTGATGAGTGCAGGATCGCCGTTCCCGAGTGCGCATGTCACACCACGAAACGCTTTGGACCAGTCTCTTGTCTGATTGGTATCCGCGAAAATGAAACCGTAGACGCGGCTGGGCCAGAACTGCGCCCTCCAAAATGACATGGGAAGTGCCTCAGGGCATATTAAGGTCGCCAGCTCTCGACAGACGAGCCGGAGCTGTTTGACTTCGGTGTGCGGTAAGTAGAGAAGTATGTCGTGGAAGATCTCCGTCGGCAATCTGCCAAACGCCGACCTCTTGTCGCTTTCCACATCTAGACGGGTCCATGACGGCGACGGGGGAGCATTCTGTTCAATCTGAGACAAGTTCATGGTGAGAGGGTCAGTGAACGTAAAGTGAGATCCGTCTGAAGAGTTGGCTGGTCCCAGAGGCCCGATGGACAGTGCACTGTCATAATCATGACCAAAATCCAGGCACGCGTGCTGCGGACACGGTGTACAATAAAACTGCTGGAATAAGGACATCGCGATCGCAGACTCGTCCACTCTGCCACCAAGCTCTGCACGCAACAACTGCCAACACGCCTCGTGGAGGCCATATCCCCAGTCGGAGCCATGGTTTCGAAACAACGTGATGGTCTGCCTTACGCCAGGTAATGTCGAAGACGGAATCGACAGCACATTGTGTCCTGTAATAACTCCAGGTTCAGATACTCTGGCAGCGTCCGCTTGAGAGGATCGTGTATAGATAGCCCGGACGAGGCCCAGCCAGCCCCGGCCGGGAGCTTGAATTCCTGGATCGCCATTATTGGCCAACACCACGCCGCAGAGCGAGCAGAAGGCGGTCGGTGCAACGGACGCCATGTATGCGCAGTCCACACAGTGATGGCAGACACCTAATCCCAGAGTCCGGCAGAATGCCTACGACGGGAGGGGTGAGGGAGGACGCCATATATACATGGAATTTGCTGACAGCTCCGCGGACATAGTAAGTTCAAGCAGACCCAAGTGACTTGACAAGGCCAGACCGATGTCGACAGGAAGGGGGGACGGCCACGTGAGGATGGGCAGGAATGCCAGCAACCATCACGAACTGCGGAGTCATCGCAAGTCGAATCCGGGGAAAGCTTCGCCTGCATCCATGCGTGGAGAGAGGCACTAATTGGCGGATGATGGCGCTGTGACGTTGTCTAGCCCATTCCTACCGATGTCGAGCACTCCGTGCGAACCCGGAAGAACCATGGATAGCGCCGCCAGTGCCACTATTTCCACTAGTGCACGGGGCAGTCGTTGCCAACGAATAGCAGTGCCACACAAAGCGCAAAGGCTGGTACAGTGCTTTTCATCTCATAAGCGGATTAGCAATGGATTTCGTTACTACCAAGGTGAGATGATCGTAGATGATCGTCAAGTCTATCTCCCAGCCTCAATATCCTCCCTCCGGATCCCACTCCGATCACACATACTACGAAAGATTCCCATCTGCTTCCATAGCTGCATCGGCGGACCCAGCTCTGCAATCTGGCCCTGGTCCATGACACAAATACGGTCATATCCAATGATCGTTCGTAGACGATGCGCAATACTCAGCAGGGTCTTTCCGCGGAAGTTATTGACAATCGTCTCCTGGATCTTCGTATCGGTCTCGGCATCAATCGAGCTGGTTCCTTCATCAATCACAATGATCCGGCTGTCCCGAACCATAGCCCTAGCAAAGGCTAGAAGCTGTCTCTGTCCGAGCGAGTAGTTCGATCCCTCTTCGTCCATGGGTCCATCCAGTGTGATCTTCGACATACTGGAGGTAGCCTTTTCCGACTCTTGCGAGGGCTCGTTGCTCGCGTTATTTGCGCCCACAAGATGGCTCTCTCGCAGGGCATTCCAGAGCTCAGCATCGGTATGTTCATTGAACGGGTCGAGATTGGACCGCACCGTGCCCCGGAAGAACGTCGGGTCCTGGGGGATGATGGAAACGCGTGCGCGGAGTTCGTGCAGGCCAATTTTAGAGATGTCCACTCCATCAATGGTGATAGAGCCCTCCGCCAGCTTGACCAGCCGGAACAGCGCTGAAATGATGGAGCTCTTCCCCGCTCCAGTTCGACCGATAATTCCGATTCGCTCACCTCCTGAAATGGCCAGGTTCAGTCTGTTCAAGACTAGCGGAAGCCCAGGACGGTACCGCATTGCGACGTTCTCAAAGGTGATGTGGCCCTGTTCAGGCCAGGTCGGGCGCACCATTCCCAAGTCCAACGGAGCCTCTGGCTCTAGCCCTGTGTATTCATGGATACGTTCAGTGCCATTCATGGCGCTCTCCACCTCTGCCAGCTGCCGCACGGTGAACTGGATGAGCTGTACAATACTGAGACTGTAGCTGAGCACAAGGCCGGATATACTGGGCGATATATTATACCGCTCTGCCACAACAAGAATGCCGCTGGTAAAGACAAGTGCGTTACCAATGCTGTCCAGGCGCAACGAAAGCCATCGCTGGTTGCCAAATGTTAGAAAGTGAGCGCTATTCATATCATCGATAGCCGACTGGATGCGTGAGGTGAACTGCTGTTGGCGCCCGTACGATCGAATGCTAGATGTCCCCGCGAGTGCTTCACTGAACCGCGCATACACGCTTGAGTCCAGCACAGCTTCGAAACGCTTCAATTCACGTGCACTGGCTCGGTAGTACGCCGTCCAGATCACAAGGAGAACTGCCAGGGGCACAATAGCGGCGGCAAACTAAAGGCGATTAGCGTTGGTCTCCATGGTATATACAGGCTGGGCCGGATCCCTACATAGTAGAAGTACGCAATGGTAAGTATAAAAACGCCAAAGATCATACTGAGCACGACAAGATACATCCGCAAGGAGTCTGTCAGGCTCATATCCATCACGTCAATGTCTTTGGTGAATCTATGCGTAATCCGACCGAGAGGCGTCGTGTCGAAGAACGACATGGGAGATCGCAAGACATGCCAGGTAGCCTGATTGAGCATCGTGCGACTTGCATTCGTACCAACCACACTCGTGCAGAGAGAAAAGGCAAACAGGAGAACTCCCTGGAGACATGCCAGTCCCGCGTATATGCCGATCTATACCATTAGCACTTAACCACTCCTGAGGAAAACTCGTCTTACCCATTGGCCCCGACTTAGATCAAAAGCCTGGCCTGACCAGTAACTCAACCACAGCCCGGTCATAATATTCGCCCCTCGGAAACTGACAAGCAATAGGAGGATCCAGATGGCGTTCACAATGCTGCCCGATGCTCGGATGTACGCCACATAGACGCTCCATGGTACACTCTTGACCGCTTTGCCTTCTGCAGTCATCAGCGCTCCATCACCATGAAGGGAGACGCTGGTGTCAACACGTTCAATACGATCTTCCGAGTTCCTTTCGTCCTTAGGTTTCCCTTCTTCCTCCCCTTCCTCGCGCTGGACGCTCAAAGCCATCAGGCGATTGAAGTCCCGGGGAGTGCTGGCGGAGATCGGTATACGTTTCAACAGCTTGGATCCTTCCCTCATGCACCAGCGCCACTCGGTCACAACGGTCGAGAACATGTAGTTGATGGGTGGCAAGAATACGACACTTGTCCTTCAACAGGCCGCAAATGGCGTGCTTGAAGATATGCTCGCCGACATGGGCGTCGACCGCGGACAACGGATCGTCCATGAGCACGATGTCTGAGCGTGAATAGACAGCCCTCGCCAGGTTCACTCGCTGCTTCTGACCTCCAGAGAGATTGATACCTCGCTCTCCGATTTCTGTCATGTCACCTGCGGGCAGGCTGCGAAAGTCCGCCCGCAGGGCGCACGCATCCACGACCTCATGATACCAATCCGAGTCGAACGGCTGCCCAAAGACAATGTTATCACGAACGGTGGCATTCTGGATCCAAGCATATTGTGGACAAAAGGCTCTGGAGGCTCCGAGAACCATCGTCCCCCCTGTGCGGCGCATCTCACCGGCCAATGCTGCAAGTAATGATGTCTTGCCAGAGCCTACGGTACCCACAACGGCCAGTAACTCGTTTCGCTGGACTGTGAGATCCAATCCATGAAGCTGGAAGACTGACTGCGACGCTGAGGCGGATTCAGATGCCACTGCCTTTTCAGCACTCAGACCACGCTCCCAGGTAAAACTGGCATTGCGAAGCTCCGCCGCAGCGGCCATTTTCAGGTCCCAAACCGCCTGTTCTTCATGTTCCTCTGCCTTTAAGAAATCTTCAATACGCCGGACGGAGGCTAGTGCATCAATCACCTGTCCGATAGCGACGGGAAGCCAGTTCAGAGGGGTTCGCAGGGAGTTGAAAAGCGCAAGCGACGAGAATATAGTTGCTGCATCCAAAGCATGGTTTGAAAGTGCAAACGTGATGAATGCGAAAAGAGTGGCGAAGATGGGAAGGGCCATCGACACTGCTCCAATGGCACTCCGCGTTATGAGCAAAACCTGGACCGAGCGAATCTCTTGTGCTCGAATCTCGTTCAACCGATCTTGGAAAGCCCTTTCCCAAGCAAAACATTTGACAAACCGAACCCCTTGGAGGATCTCCTGAGTCAGGCTCACCCGCTGGTCTGCAACAGCGTTGATAGTATCTCTCCGGCTTGCTAAGAACTTGACTACGCGTGACAGGCTGAACAGGCCGATGATGAGGAACCCCACACCCGGCAGGGCACTATAAGTCAAGTTGATGATAACCAGGATGACAGCAAGCAGGATGGCCAGGGGACTGGTCCAGACAAGGTGAACCACGTTGGACGCCTGGAGGATGCGCTGTGTGTCGTTGGACATGAGATTCATGATGCGACCATTCGTCCAGCCCTCAGACTTTGACCCTGAGTGGCTTTTGCCTGTCGCCCCAGCCCTTTCCCTCATAGACAGGCGTAAGGATTTCTCAAAGATGGCGGAGATCAACACACTGCGCGTCTGGCCTCCGACGACCATAGACCGATAGAGAAAATGGGTGTCGCCTAAGCTTTGCAGAATCTGCATCCCGAGGATGCCTAGCACGAGGCCTACCCCCTTCCCGATGTTGGGAACGGGCTCCCCATTATGATGTGCGTTCCACGCGTCTTGCGCAAATGCAATCAGGTAGCGGAGAGTGAAGGGAGCAAATATCAACAGGACGTCCGATACCAGACGGCAAATCCCGCCCAGCCAGATCTCGCGCCGAAATGTATCGTGTATGGCTCCAAGCAGGGGATGCTTCTTATTCTGGGCCACGCGCTGTTGAAAGCTTTCTCGCAGTTTCCCTGACAGAGGTACGACAGCACGGTCTGGGTTCACCAGCCAGATATCCTCATATTCCAATGGTCTATGATATCCAGTCTGTGAGGGTCAATCAGCGTCAAACTACACAAAGCCGATATGGTACGTACGCTCATGTGCTCATTAATCCAAGAGAATGTCAATTTACTCCAGAATCCGGCTCCGTATTCCTTCGATACTTGACGCTCGCTGGGGATCGGGTGGGCCCTACCCCGTCGCAAGCGGGACCAGGACCACTTCTGAGACTGTACAATGTACTGTCGTTGAGCAGCGACCTTTTCGACGTTACTATCTGGTTCCGCCATTTTGAGAGGTTCAGCGCGCAATGCTTCTCAAGGGACACTTCTGACAGTCCAGAGCGGAGAAATTCGATGCTGCGAGGCCATGGAGAAGAGTGCAGCCTATAATTATAGAAGCGCTTCCGCATAGGCAATACTTCCACGGATTAGTTGGGGACATGTGCATGCGGGATAGGCCGAAGGAACAAGGCGAGACAAAATGGCCAACTCACCCCTGTCCCCGGTAAGCTTATCGTGTCAATGGGTGTCCACAATCATCGAGCATCAATGTAACCGGTCATGGCGTTGCATTTGGATCTCATGAACCCTGCGATGGCGCAATTTACAGTCTCGTGCCTTTGGTTGGGTTGGTATGTTGAAGCCAGTGATCGTCAACTGGTGGTCTAACCCGACTTTCTGCCGCAGCCGCTGGAGTGTGGAACATACGAGAGTCCAAGTTTAGTATATCTGTCGTCTGAGATACAAACAGTACCATCAACATGACTCAACAAGTTGTAAACAACCTAGGCATAACAGCCCCGTAAATTCTCTCATGAAGCGCTGCTATCCAATGTATCATTTACCGAGACTCCCCAACAGGGACAAGCACACCCTCGGTTATCTCGATAAACAGGGGGTTCGAACCAACATTCAGAGATGCCTCCAATCGGGATCACCTAGCGTCTCCCAGTGACTGCGGCGCAGACGAGACCGCACCATCATAGGCGGAAGTCTGGTGGGCGTCATAGAATCCTTACCCGAAGGCAACCTTGAATATGTGCCTAGATACGGTGCTCTTTAGCCGAAATAGGCCCCCAGGTTTTTACACTACAATGAGGCGGAATGAGTTTCCCAAACTGCTGTCTCTTCGCCATGATTTCCTTCCCTGTCCACGCCCACAGCCCCAAGATATGCTTGGATGGGTTGATATGTGCGGATCAGGTACTTACGCCTAATGGAGTTTTAACGACTGTCTTCTCAATCACCGGCATAAAAAGCAGGAACTTCTTCCTTTTTTCAGGCGCCCCCAAAACTGTATTCTATCATTCTTTGAATTTTGGCTAATTGAGTAGGGGAAGATGTGACAGCCCTCCAGGGGTTCCTCCATTTTCGTGAGGACACAGAGATTCTTGTACGGTTTCTCCGCGAGGTCCCTCACGTCGTAATCTCGGGGGACTAGTGGAGGACCTGTTGGGGAGGACGGCCGCTTTCGAGACGACTGCGAGGACTCTGTGACTGGAGGATCGGGAGTGTCGAGGACTTGCGGTGCTCCTAGCCGGCGGCCTAGCCACATCTTCAAATAGCGCATATGAGGAGTGTTTTGTAACACCGCCTTGATGGATTCTCTGATGAATTGTTTAGAAGCATAGCTAACAAGGGCGCGGAGGGCCTCCAGATCTGCAAACCATAGCATCGCATACGTAGCACTATCGACGTATTCAAGCTGAAGGAGGTCGCTTAGTTGCTGGATGAGCTCAGACCTCTCCTCGCATTCCAGCTCGGGAGCAATAGGCGATGTAGAACCCATAGTTGATGATGCTGGTGATGGTGATGGCGATAGTGGTAGTGATAGTGATAGTGATGGAAGCGCCTAACATACCAGATCTGATCGCTCCGTCTTATCCACAGGAGTACCAAGACTTCATATATATGTGACTGTTGGCTCTAATTCATTTCCCTTGAACTGTTTGTCTAACAGGAGGTTTAAATGGCCACATTCCGCAAACATTACACAATTCGACCCAGCGCTCACCTCCATGAATCACTCGCCGACGCCTCAGCCCCGGCACAAGAACTCCCCACAGTATAGGACCGATTTGGATCGCTCTCCCAGACCACTGAGCCATCTTGGTTCTTCCGGAGATATTTATATTGAAAGGAGGTTCCCACAGGAAGATTTACCGTTACGCTCCAGACGGGATTTGTGGAAGTATACCCGCTCGCAGAAAGAGAGACTGCATTTCCTGTGTTCCAATTCCCCAGCTGAGGAATAGACCCAACAAGGAAGATGCTCTCCCCATACGAGGTCGTCACCTTCTCGTTAAACGTAATCGGAAGCGCAGTAGCCGATGTGCAAGCGCTCGTTGAGCTCGCGGAGCCCGTGGACGTAGTGGTTCGTGTGGTAGTAGTCAGGGTAGTGCTTGATGAGCTTCCGCACAGCCCGCTCCCCATGACCCAGGAGGCCGGAACAAGGACCCGAGGAAGCCCTGATACCATCGGAACAGGGATGTTGCCATTTGATCCCACTTGGATGGAGGAGCACGTGTACACCTCGACCAGTGCAGTGCCAGAGCTGTACCCGTGGTTGTAGAGATCGAGCGTGTACGAACCGCCCTTCGAGCCCGAGTTGGAAAGGACGGTTATCACCTGGGAGCCACCAGAGCCTTTACGCATTGCAATCGTATTGCTATCGGTATAGAAGACATTGTTCTACTAGTCGTCAGTACTTTGTCCAGAACAAGCGGAGCCCAAGAATACGTACCCGGGCGGTTAGATAATTCGAATCCTTGGAGATCGCAAGCTTTCGGATCTTGTTTGCCGTCAAAATGAATTTGTACAGCTCGGAGTCTTTGGAGTAGCCTGAAAGCCAGAGAGCCTCGCGGTTATAAGGGTCCTCCCCGCCTGCATAGTGTTGTTCCTGGCCGGCATAAATAATAGGGATTCCATCGGCGAAGAAGACATAGGCGATGACGCTCTTCGCCTGGGACATATCAGAAGTGAAACTACCCTTATCAGCATTACTATCCGACAGGCCGTGCGGGACCATACCTAGGGAATCGAGCATTATCATGATTCTCGATAAAGCTTCCTAACAAAGTCGGGTCTTGGCAGCTCGAGGACACCGAGTTGATCATGTTAACCAGGTTAGCAATACTTCCGCTGGAGGACTTGAATGCTTCGCGAAGTTGAAAGTAGCTATGTTGGTTAGTGAGGAGGTGACTAGCCGACAATGTTCGACGTACATAGGGTAGTTCATCACGCCGTCGATATATCCCTGGTAAGGGCAGGTATACGCTGGATCGCCATGAAGGACCTCGCCCACCGTATAGACTCCGGCGGCTTGGCTGTACCCCTGCCAAAAGTCCTTTTCGACATGCTTGACTGTGTCAAGACGAAGTCCGTCGACTATTTTCTGTCACCCCAAGGGCCCACAGAGTTAAGAATTGACGTACTCACCAGTGTAATTGCTAACAAGATCCTTGACCCAATCATACCAGATCGTCCGGACCTCAGTCTTTTGCGTGTAAAGATCAGTCAAAGAGACAGTATCATCTCCTAACCAGCAGTTCTCAACCTGAGTTTGGTCGTTGTAGTTGCTGATCTGGCAGTAGGAGTGGAAGTAGGAGGCCGAGTTGAAGGGGTTGAAGGTGGTGAAGTCAGTCGAACTACCAGGGCCGTTGTATCCCTGTGCAATAAGGTCAGACTCGTTGATGCACGTCAAGTTGAACCTAACAGTCTCACCATATGATTGGCAACGACGTCAAGCATAAAGTACATCCCCCTATCGTGCAAGGCCTTTGACAGCGCCTTGACATCATCAGCCGTCCCGAGATGTTCGTCCACATCATATCTATCATCATTGAGTCTCTGTAAACCCTGCTTGAATCGGAACTGAACATACATGTCCTGTTGCCAGTAGCCATGATAGCCCGTTCCCTCGCTGGTCGACTGTGGGAGCTGCTTCGCGATGGGCGTGATCCAAACGGCGGTAAATCCCATGCCTTGAATGTAGTCCAACTGGGAGAATCAGGGCCATGTTCCGTACGACACAAAATTGAGCCACCTACATGATCAATGATGCCCTGCCAGCTACCACCGCAATACGCCTGTAATATTCTCAGCCGTCGGGCTTGTGTTTCCGGGCGGACATCTACTCACTCTTTTCCCAAGATCACACGGGGCCGTTGTCGAACCATCTGTCCTGGCAAACCGGTCCGTCATGAGGAAGTAGATGGACTGACTGCGCCATTCCGCAGCACTCAATCCAACCACCCCTCTTCCCAACAGGGTCAGAGCTGCCGTGAAGGTGAAAAATGAAAGCTTCATATTCGAATCTGTGGCAATGAAATAGGACAGCCTTCTGAGTCGATCATGGTGGGAGTCCGGACTCAACGTCGCGATGGTGCCGATTTATAGTCGGTCCTTCCCCGGGCGGATGCCTGACCCAGCCCATGTCAACAGCTGCTACAGACTGGTTGGAATAACAGAAATTAAGCAAGTCCGATATACGAGGCTTCTGGCCTATCACTGCGTCTCGGTATTCTCAGTACGCTCTCGTCCGTGTCGAATTCAATTAAATGCTTCTCGTGCTGCTTATGGAACCATACGAGATGTGCAGATCGTCAGGCAGTACTATCACTCAACACCAATACTACGCTCCGACGGTGACTCCGAGTGGTGTATATTCTGCATATCCTGCAAAGATGTCTCGTTTCAAAGTTTGCCTGCCAAGCACCAGTATCATTCTTCTGAAATTGGTCACGGAATAGCCAACTGGGATATCCGGGGAGAGGGCCTGGTACATTTTCCCCAGACTTCATCCCCACGTGTCTCCGTGGGGAAACCGGAAGTCTAGATCCGACTTGTCCAGCCCTCCGCCGGAGTAACTCGATTTGGCTTGCAACCTGGGTTGCAATACGAGCACTTTCAGGCTCTGAGATAAAGGAATATGTTGGAATCATGGCCATCTCCGCTCCTCCCGGTCCGCAATGATGCCGAATTGACGCCGAAGAGCATGCCACCTGATCAAAACGGCCGCATTCTATCAAAAGGTGGCATCGGTGGCTGCGGTGGCTGAAGACGGAAAGCTTATATAGATTGATGAGACGGACGATAATCGGAAGACTGAGCAAATCACTGATCCAGACTACGTTAAGGGTCCAAATGGCAGGCGATCCTTTGACCTTAAATTATCCTCGCGTGCTTAGAAATCCATACTCTTGCATGCATATCGACTGTCCCCGTGTTTCGGCACTCTAAGATTACCTGGATATTATCCGCCTCCTGGAAGATATGATCCTACTACTCTCTTGCAGGCATCGGGGAATAGTCGGAAATTCCGCCCAATGATAACTGTCAGTCGACTACAGCTCTACAAGCATTGTATATAGAAGACTCCTGATGTCATTTGAAGCGGAGAACGTACCACTGGGTAAAATCGACTTGGCAAGTACGAAAAGCCTTCTTATGAATCCTTGGCCAACATGAACGCCGACAGCAGTATTTGCTTCGCTCAGAGCGTAGGCGGCTCCCTGGAGGACTCCATCTGGGCTCGCCAAGAATATGGAGGAATCCCGAACACGAAGGGCGAAGCTGACATTGGTATAGCGTCGGCCAGGACGGAGATTTACTATACGGGTATACATTGTGAGCTCGAAATGAAGCATCACGGCATCAGGACATAGTCATGGTCGTTGTTTGGATGTTAGATGCAAGCGAGCAACCCGCATATAAAGTCTGCGGCCATCACCTGGAGATACATTGTCTACCACCTTAGAAACCAGTACCTGACTTGAACCAACATGGCGAAACATTCGCTCAAGGTCTTCTCTACGCTTGGGATTGTCCTCGGGGCTTATGGCCTTGCTGCTCCCACCCCAACGAGCACCGGCCAGGATGCCCAGTATACCATTCCGTCTGAGGTCACCAACGGCCAGAATCTAATCGCCAACATCGATGACCCACAAGCCGTTAATGCACAGGAAGTCTGTCCTGGGTACTCAGCATATGATGTGCAGCACACCAAGTCCGGGTTGACTGCGTCTCTCAAACTTGCTGGGTCCGCTTGCAATGTCTACGGTACCGATATCGAGAATCTACGATTCTCTGTCCAGTATCAAGCCAGTGATCGAGTGAACGTGGAAATCGTTCCGGCCAATATCCAACCTTCGCAGTCAACATGGTATCTCATCCCCGACAGCCTCGTCCCAAAGCCTAAAGCCGAGGAAGGTATGTGTCTCGAGAAGAGCGAGCTCGCGGTAACCTGGTCCAACGAGCCCACCTTCAGCTTCAAGGTGACTCGGAAGGCGACTGGGGATGTTCTGTTTGACACCGAGGGGACAAAGCTGGTCTACGAAAATCAATTCATCGAATTCGTCACTGCTTTGCCTGAAGACTATAACCTTTACGGTCTCGGGGAGCGCATCCAGGGATTGCGACTTCCTAACAACATGACCATAACTACGTATGCCGCTGATATTGGTGACCCGTTTGATAGGTAAGGAACCCTTGGAAGAGTGAGAAACATACCAGTCTTGGTGCATACTACTGACACGTCATGAACTAGTAATCTCTATGGCCACCAGCCCTTTTATCTTGATACGCGGTACTATGAAGCCTCGTCAGGCAAACCCTACACTCCCGTCGATGGCCAGCCTCCCTCGAAAAAGCATTTGTCCTTCTCCCATGGAGTGTTCTTGAGAAACGCCCATGGCCAGGAGGTGAAGCTGCAGCCTCGGAGTCTGACCTGGCGCACAATTGGCGGCAGCATCGATCTCTATTTCTATGCCGGACCGTCCGCCACAGAGGTGACTAAAAGCTACCTGCGTAGCACCGTCGGCTTGCCAGCGATGCAGCAGTATTTCACCCTGGGATACCATCAGTCGCGCTGGGGCTACCGCAATTGGACCGAGTTAGAGGAGGTCGTCGCAAATTTCGAGAAATTCAATATCCCTCTGGAAACTATCTGGTAGGGGAAACGTGGATGGCTTATCTTGCTTGCATTCTGGCTAACAGGAATTCAAAAACAGGACCGATATCGACTACATGAAGTCGTATCGCAACTTTGAGAATGACCCATACGCCTTCTCGTACGAAGAAGGCAAGGCATTCTTGGACAAGCTCCATCAGTCTGGGCGACATTACGTGCCCATTCTCGACACTGGAATCTACATCCCTAATCCCGACAACGCCTCTGATACGTAGGTCCCTTCCGTTTAGACCTCCATCCCTCACGACGGAACTACCATGCTAACTGTGCATAGGTACGAGCCATATACTCGGGGTACTGAGCTTGACGTCTGGCTCAAGAACCCTGATGGTAGCACTTACATCGGCTCTGTTTGGCCCGGTTATACCGTCTTCACTGACTTCCACCATCCCAATGCTGTAGAGTACTGGGCAAATGAGCTGGTCAAGTACCATGACAAGATCTCCTTTGACGGCATCTGGATGGACATGAACGAGGCGTCCTCCTTCTGCGTCGGCAGCTGTGGCTCCGGCTCGGTTCACCTGAACCCTGCGCACCCCCCATTCAAACTGCCTGGCGATCCGGGATATCTCCTCTTCGACTACCCCGAAGCATTCAACATCACGAATGCGACCGAAGCGGCCTCTGCATCAGCAGCGGCATCGAGTCAAGATGCTGCGAACTCTGCCACGCAACCGCCGGCTCCCACCACCACTACGCCGTACCTGCGGACCACCCCGACCCCGGGTGTTAGGGATATCAACTGGCCGCCATACGTCCTCAACCACGTCCAAACGGGACATGACCTCGCCGTGCACGCTGTCTCTCCCAATGCCACGCATGCTGACGGCACGGTCGAGTACGACGTTCACTCCTTGTACGGCCACCAAATCATCAACGCAACATATAAGGGCTTGCTCGCGGTGCACCCTACCAAGCGCCCCTTCATCATCGGCCGCTCGACCTTTGCAGGGTCGGGCAAATGGGCTGGCCACTGGGGCGGCGACAACTACGCGAAGTGGGCATATATGTACTACTCGATCCCACAGGCCCTCCAGTTCTCCCTATACGGATTCCCAATGTTCGGCGTTGACACCTGCGGCTTTGACGGCAATACGGATGAAGAGCTCTGCAATCGCTGGATGCAGCTGTCTGCGTTCTTCCCCTTCTATCGGAACCACAACCGCCTCGCCGCGATTCCCCAAGAGCCATACCGCTGGTCTTCCGTGATCAAGGCCTCCCAGGACGCCATGAAAATCCGCTACGCACTCCTCCCCTATTTGTATACCCTCATGCAAGAGGCACACACCACCGGCGCAACCGTCATGCGCGCGCTGGCCTGGGAATACCCCAACGACCCGTCGCTAGCGGCGGTGGAAACGCAGTTCCTGCTCGGACCCGCACTCATGATCGTCCCCGTTCTCGAACCGCTCGCCACGACGGTTCAGGGAGTCTTCCCCGGCCTGGAGGACGGGGAGAAGTGGTATGACTGGTACACCCAGACGGCGGTGACTTATGCCCAGCCGGGCGTGAACACCACCATCGACGCGCCGCTGGGTCATATTCCTGTGTTCATCCGCGGAGGCCACATCCTCCCCATGCAGCAGCCGGCGCTGACGACCCGCGAGGCGCGCAGTACCCCGTGGTCATTGATTGTCGCGCTGGATGCCAATGGCCATGCGTCGGGCAGTCTGTATATGGATGATGGGGAGTCGATCAATCCTGAGGCTAGTCTGTTGGTTGATTTGGTTGCTCGCAGGTCGAAGCTGGTGGCTACTGCGTCTGGGTCATGGGTCGAAAGCAATGCGCTGGAGAAGATCGCAATTTTGGGCGTCGAACATGCCCCGGCTAAGGTCCGATTTAATGGGCGTCCCGTCCACCACCAGTCTGTTCATTATAACTCGACTTCTCACGTTCTTAGTATTTCTGGTTTGAAGCGAGAGACCAAGAAGGGCGCGTGGCATAATGACTGGGTGCTGGAGTGGTAGACTTGGATCGTCACTGTGGTTATTGTGAGATTCCATGTAGCCAGGGCTAGATATGTATATGATTTAGTTGACTTGAATAATATGTTGGCTGTAGTTCTGTATGTGGTTGAAGATAGGGTTCGGTAACTTGAGCCGAGGGCCGTGTTGATCATACGTCATCGGCAGCTCCCTGTCCCTTAAGCTATCCTTCAACCATCTCGCATCGTCCCCCATCACCTCTACAACTGGCATCGCATCACATATATGCGGTCAGCAGGACTCCTCCTCCGGCACCTCCAGCCATCCCTCTCCCTACGACCACTCATCCGCAAATCCTCCATCATGTCTTTATCAACCTTCACAATCACAAACGAGCACACCCCAACCCCCGTCTCAGTCGAATGTCCCCCCGACCTCCCAAAAGACAAGCTCCTCCACTTCCCCGCCTTCAAAACCTGGCTCTCCACGCTCCAACGCTCCCTCCAACGCCAACAAAACCCCTCGCACGAGTTCCACGCCGACCCCTACACCCTCCGCAAAATCCACGTCCAAACCGTCGACTACTTCGGCGGCGGACGACTCGGCTTCGTCAAGCTGCGCGCAACCGTGTCCAACGGCCGCGGCGAGTCGCTCCCGGGCAGCGTGTTCCTTCGCGGCGGGAGCGTCGCGATGCTAGTGCGCCTCCCCTTCCTCCCTTCTTTACGATAATACGAATGCAGGCATTCTAACACCGCGTCTAGCTCATCCTCCAACCAGACGATGTGCTCCCCTCCGCCGAGGACGAGAAGCGCGCCATTCTCACCGTCCAACCACGTATTCCCGCGGGCTCGCTGTCGTTCGCGGAGATCCCCGCGGGCATGCTCGACGACAGCGGGTCATTTGCCGGCGGGGCGGCGAAGGAGATCCACGAGGAAACCGGGTTGACGATACCGCAGGAGGAGCTGGTGGATATGACGGCGCTGGCGATGGCGCGCACCGGTGCGGATGATGGAGCGGAGACGCTGCAGGATGCGGTGTATCCGTCTGCCGGGGGGAGCGACGAGTTCATCCCGATCTTCCTGTGTCAGAAGCGGATGCCGCGGGGGGAGATTGAGGCGTTGCAGGGGAGGTTGACTGGGTTACGACAGCATGGGGAGAAGATCACGCTGAAGGTTGTGCCGTTGCAGGAGTTGTGGAGGGAGGGGGCGCGCGATGGGAAGACGCTTGCGGCTTGGGCTTTGTATACTGGGTTGAGGGGGGAGGGGAAGATATAGCTAGCTAGGTAGCTTGCTACGCTCGCTGTCCGGGGTGTGAGTATCCGGGCGGGGTGGTGTATTGGTGGATTCATGTCTATGGTCGTTACGTCTATGGCATGAACTACAGCTTGAGCTGCTTCGCCAGCTCAATGCCCTCTGCTATCGTCCCCACGCGCGCATCAATGGCATACCCCTCGCTCTCGAGCTTCTTCATCTCCTCGAACAGCGTCGACAGGGGCACCGTGAAGCACTCGATGAACTCGTTGTCCTCGAGCTGCGGCTTCGGGTTCTGGTTCTCGGGGAGGGACATGTCCACGCGGACATGTACCATGTTGAGGTTCGTGTTGCAGAAACCGGGGTCTGGAGATGACGGTCATTTAGCTTCGTCGGGATAGCTGCAGCTTGGGTCTGGGGCAGGGCGCAACGCACCATTGTACATAACACAGCTCGTCTGCTCTGCAACACCCACGTAACCCGTCTCTTCTTTCAGCTCACGCACGGCGCACTCCTCGACCGTCTCCCCGGCATCGATCAACCCCGCCGGCACCTCGACGACTACCATGTCGATGGGGGGTCTGTATTGTTTCTGCAGGAGGAGCTCGGGGCCCGTCGGCTTATTGAGGATGGTGACAATGCCGACGCCGTCGATTTCGCAATCTGCAGGGCGAGTCTAAAATCCATACGTTAGGAGGCTTCCAAGCCCAAGTGCACGAGCTGCAAGTCACGGTGTGGGAGCTTACCTGCCGCTCCGCCGACTCCCACGTCCGCTCAACGCCATTGGGGTCCCGATACGTCGTCTTGATCAGTCTAGTCCATCGGGCCTCCTTGGGGTCCTACCGCCGACAAAGTTAACACGCAATTGGGGATAGTTCGGATGCGGTGGTCACAACAGACCCCGCATTCTGGTGGCGGGGGGCCAGAACATACCAAGGGACCTCGTGAGATGTGCTTGGACAGGCCGTATTTGGGATCCGACATGGTCAATGCAAGGAGTGAGTGGTTTGGGGGAGAGTGAAAATGCGTCGAGGAGCACGGACTGGAGGTAGAGGGGAGGTGTACTGGTAAACGGTGAGGTGGGACACCGGACGATATCGTTATCGGTCTGATTAGGTCCTAGGTCAGGTGATCTGCATGTTTGCCCGATGATCCCAGTGTTGTTCAGAACAGTACTATCTGTTTCTTCATATTTATGAGCTGGCAGGATTTTGATGCGCTTCATACCTATATACATGGGGGTTGTAAAGGATTTCGTGGAGTCATTGGTCTAGTATTATCCCCAGATATATCTTCGACCCTCGATAGGTATGCCTTATGGGTTCTAGAGACTTCTGATATAGTGCGATACTTGAAATTACTTCTATAGAGAAAGTTCCTAGCATTAGTGACAAGATCCAGACCATTCTAAATTCACTCACATGTAACCCCAAATCCCTTACGGTGAGGTCGATCTGGCCATAGTGGACAGCGCATACGCTGATAACGCTCGTAACGCTCGTTGGGCATTCGTACAGGCAGTCCGAGTGCAGACTGTCGTAAACCGACCTCGAGACCGAGGAAAACGCAAAGCTGCATACGGGGAACTGCAGGTCTAAGCACCTACCCTGCGTAAAAAGCATATTCAGTCAGGTGACATGAATGCATGTTCCCCGGATTTTCTACGAGTGCAGGGATAGATTCCTACCAGACGCTACAGGATCACTATTACAAAGGCACGGATCGTGGAGAATCTATTATATTTCTACAGGCTCGTCAATGCTCAGCGTTGATCGCTGGCAAAACCTGTCTATGCTAGAAAATTTAATAGTAATGCAGATCTCCCGGGTTGACAACAATGGGAAGAGACTGAAGGAAAAGAAATGGTGAATATGCTTCACACAGGATGGTCAACATCGGGTGATCATGCAGTGACGAGTCCCGCGCGTGTCGCAGTTGACGCGGGATTAGAATTAGAAAAGACCATGCTCCAGACCGACAATGCGCGTGCTATCATGACTTCGTGTCCGTAAAGAAAGGGGGTATTGGGGGATCAAGGGATCATCGGTCTACAGACTGGCCTGGATCTTTTCAATCTGCGCAAGGCAATCTTCGAATTCGGACCAGTCTTTCATGATGACCTTGGCGCCCAACTCTTCCAGGCGTTGGGCCATTTCGAGTTTCTTGTCGTCACCGGGATAACTGCCCACGTAACCGATGACGGGGATACCGGCGCGGATGGCGCTCAGGGCACCAGACTTGCTGTCCTCGATGGTGACGGTCTCTTCAGCCTTCTTGCCGCAGACCTCCAGGGCGTGGAGGTAGATGGCGGGATCCGGCTTGGAGGTAGGCTTGGGAAGGGAGGAGGCGGCACTGAAGACGCGGTCCGGGGCGAAGTACTGGTCCTGGCCAACCTTTTTGATGGAGGCCTGGACACGGCGAAGAGCGGACGAGGAGACAACAGCGAGGTCGTACTTGCCGGAGTCGTACAGCTTCTGGAGCTCCTCGTTGGCGCCGACACAGGGCTGGGCCTTGTCGTTCAGCTTGGCAATGACCTTGTCTTCTTCTTTCTTGACGTATTCTTCAAGTTCGTCCTTCTCCATCTCGAACTTGTACTTGGCCTGGAGGGAGATCATCATGCCACGGAAGTTCTGGCCGACGAAATCCTGGATGAGCTGCTCGCCAGTGTAGCGATCAGGGATGTTGCGCTTCTCGAGGATCTCATTGGCGAGATCGGCGCAGGCCTCGAAGGCCAGCTCCTCTGACAGGACAAGGGTGTTGTCGCAGTCGAAGAAGATCTCGGTGATCTGATATAGGAATGGCGGTTAGGGAAGTGGGTCTTGATTGATAGAGGCCATCGCCCTACGGGGCTTGGGGGATAGACTAGCTTACCTTGGGCATGGTGGCTGGGGTGATAGATTGAAGAGGCTGAAGAGGATTGGACGGAAGAGGAGGGTCGCGGGGTGGCGATGGAGATGGAGGAAGTCACGAGGACGTTGATGGGGACGAGACGGGAGATGAGCCGAAGGGAAGAGATGGGTGTGGCTGATCTAAGAGATCTAAAGAGATGTGGAGGGTATTGGATTCAGGAAAATTGAGGAATTGGATTTGAAGGGGAAGAATTGGAGAGGAAGGGAGAGAAGGGAAGGGAATTCCGGCGGTTTAAGTAAGACTACCAACCAAGGAAAAAGACAGTCCCTGCCCTGCCCTTCTCTCTTGTTTCCCTCCTGAGGTCATCGTCGGGTCCTCCAGTCGGTGACATCAACCCATGCCACTAGTCCTGTTGTGGCAAGGCCCCGCCGCCATGGAACACCACCGAATCAGCCTTTTCCTATTAGGTACTATTCTGTACAGAGGAGTAGGCTGAGTACATGGTAGAAATTAGTTAAAAGGTCTATGTCTATGTACAGGTATTGTTTAACTCCTCAGTGTCAATAATATACATACATTGATCGCATTGTATACATTCTATTGTTACCTAGGCTCAATACCCCGTATACTCCGCAAGACTAGATCATGCGCAAGGCCCAAACAGGACATTCTCTCTTCCGATGCTCATTCGGAGGACTGTCGTCCATGCCCAGGCAAGTCAACCATGTGTCTGGCTAGTGCCCGTCACGGACCCGACGATGCCAGCCACGAGCACAATTATTATTATCGTGACATGGTCTAGTCCAGACTAACCCTACTCGGAGTAGTTGCGGCGGTGGTCAAGCCTCTTCTTCGTTCCATTGAGTACTCACTCTTCATTGTTCCTATACAATGTTCACCGTTGGTTACACATCAAGCCATGAAGTCTCTAGTGCATAGATAATCTCCTCCGTATTGTAGCCTACGGAGTAAAGAATAATGCCCCACCGTATCTACTAGAAATCTCCAAACGGGTCTGCGGATGCACCAAATCTCCTCTTTTCTCTACTTTGATCGAGGTGGGCTTTCCGTCCCATGTTCATTTGGCTCAGAATTTGATGACTGGCGACAATTCCCATCTTTTTCTCTTGATATTCTCGTCATATTATGAAGGAACAATGGATGTTCTATACT